GTACGGAATGACTTCACTAACATGGCCAATAAGAATCGAAATCAAGTTCAGCACTTGAACCTGAGAAAAAAGAAAAAATAGTTAGATGGAATGATAGAGAGTCATAGGAGTCATCGAGGAAGTGGAATGGCAAGAATGGAGTGCTATAATGAATTTGAAGCAGCTACAACATGTACCTTCGAATCAAACTCTTGCACTTCCTCAACCATTTTGAAACATGATTCCCAACAGATTGGAAGAAGATCAAGAAAACTTTGCTCCGAAAAATTCGCATCCTCAACGTGTAAGCATAGTGACCTACTAGCTGCCAGCTACATAAGCAAACAGACAATCTTAGAGGCAGCCAAAATACAAAAAGGGTAAGAAAATGCGACCTTAATGTAAGACAGAAAGATAAAAGAAACAAAATAGGATGAGGGTACCTTGACAGCGAGGTCATTGTCTTGCAACAATTTTATCAAAGAACAATAAACTGCTCTTTTTGTGTCATCTTTAATCTGAAAGGTTTATCATCAGCCACAAATCATCAGCCGCCAACAATTTTTTAACCAAAAATACAATTAACGAAAACACTCTAATAAGAGAAGATAACTAACCCTAATAGCCTCTTTTTTACAGAATAGAGGAAACACTGCTTTAGATGATTATTCCGCATTAACTCAACTTATTCCGGTATTCGGACAAGATACTACGTCATTTTGCATACTATCCTTTAATATTTCATGCAATGGTACGATGCATTTTTTACAAAAGATAAGATGCTATTTCCTCTAAAGCCTCGTCAAAATTTGCTACATAAAAAACGGTCAAGCCGAAGTAAGACAACTCTACCTCTGAAACCCAATGTCCCAATATCAAAGCAACTTTACGATGGATGATACGCCTATTTGGATGGTCATTTGACAGCTCAAGGGATAGTGCACCATTAAACCTGCAGTCAAATGAAATGAAGGTTCAGTTAGGAATCACACAGCCACATTTAAAAGTGATGAAAAAAGTCTATGCATTAGGAGTCCAAAAGCATACCAATCGCTGAAATTAAGATAGTTTGAGAGCTCATAGTAGACATATGCAGTAGCAGCATACGCTGCATCTTTAAGAAGCAGCGCTGGAGTTATTTCAGTAACAGAAGGGGGACAATTATTCATTGCCTCTTGAAGGATGGATACAACAATAGGTCCTAGGAGCTGTCCACAATTATGGAGGCAGAAAGAGTATGTCAGTTTCTTTTTTCCGGTTAAATTTAGCATAATTATTTTCAGAAATTGATGACGTGCTTAGGACTATCTGCTACTTACTTGGCTGTAGTTCTCAAACAAAACCATATACAGAGCTTCAGCACAAGGCCTCAATTTCTCTGACCACTGAATCATGTCCTGCTCATGGTGAAAGGACTCAGGGTTCTGGTACCACCCTTCTAGGTCACTTGCTGTTAGAACAAAATACCTGTTGGAACGTTGATGATTAAATATCAGCAAACTATTTTTCCCGGTATCATTCATACGACTACCAGAGAATGGTGATTGTCTGGAGGTAGGAATACATGACAGCATCACAGTTTAAACCAAAACAAATGACTTAATGCATGCAATAATTTTCAAACTAATTCACAAGCTCTCGACAGTAACAATCCCTTCTCATCTATTCCAGGCACATCAAGTAACTTATTTTTCAATGTTACACAGCTGAGCCTGAGTATGTCCGTACAATAAGGATATCCATATAACTCCACGGTGAAGAGACTGAGAACAAAGATATACAAATGTGCAGCAATAAGATTATTATGTATCTATAAGATTTCCCGACCTCATATTTTGAATGGACTTTGCATTAGTAATTAAATTTGGTATCCTATCGTTCGTTAGAGTGTTACCTTCTCACTAGTATGTTGCACAAAAGAACTATCCTTTCATTGGGTAAAAGGGAAGACACAATGCCACTAACTGTGTTGGAAGCATTCTTCTTCCTCTGCTCAAATGTAGCTCCATTTTCATCCATCACGCGACCAGTTAGAATAGGCTTATATTCTTTACATTCAAGCACGGATTTCACCATCACCATACACTGAATATAAAATTCTTCAAACGGCAATGATGCCTGTTCAGGGTCTGTTATCTTGTTTAAGCAGAAATCCACCACAACTGGAAGAACACATTTATCTCCAAACGAATAAGGATGTCTGCTTTGAATTGCGGCTAACACTTTCATCAGCTTCACACATGCCTTCTTTACAAACTCCCAGAATTTAGGATCTCGGTTCTGGAAAGATGAATCTGCATGAAGAGTCTAAACAAATTAGCACAGGCATATCTATGTGGGGGTGGCAAACCGAAGCGAGGAAAGGGAGGGGAAAAAAATCCTCTTCCAAATAGACTTCTAGGTGCTTTTTTCATATGCATGAAAGAAGAGAAGAGAGTATCAAAAAGCTAAAAGCAAACTCACAATATGGAAGAAGCGATTGTACCGCATTCAAGAGCGCAGGGGAGACTTCTTTCACTGGTTGAATCTCCTGAGAAAAAAAAGGAGTTAGCTGTATATCATTTTTCTGCATGTAGAGCATATGTCCGAGGAGAGAACGAATTCCACATTCCGAATTAGTTAATCAATCAATTAAGGTTATGATTTCAGCTTAACTATCGGAAGATAGCACAAGGAAGGGAGGGCAACACACATGTTCGGTGAGAATATACCACTAGTTCATAAAAAGAAGATACTGAAGGTGGATGCGACAATGAACTAAAAAAATTCAAGGAGAAGTTTAGTGCATCTACCTGTATACATTTGGCATCGCTTTGAAATCCTGAAATTATCAGTTGGCGCACTATTTTCAAACATAAAAACCACCTCTCACAAGTCAGGAAAAGCTCATCGTGATGCTGCTCAGCACCATCTGAACCATAGCTCTGAGCTATTGTTGAAAGGCCATGTATAATTTTCTGGACATCAGTTTGCCAAAGGTGCCAACAAAAGTCGAAGAGTTGCGACGAGATCTGCCAACAAATTAAACTGGACCTTATCCTTTACTAAAGCAAAAACCCAAGCTTTGGTCCAACAATATTTCATGCAAGAGGAGAAAGAAAATTGATCAACATATAGTAGCAGACACACCTCAGCGAAGTTTCTCTGATCTGCCGTGAGACGTTTAGTGGACAATTCCTTTAAGGTTCGAAAGAGAATCATAAAGATTCTGTGAGAAGCAAGGACGTCAGCTGAGTGAAGCTGTTGCGCTAGTACTGAAAAGAGGTCAGGCCTGACATCATGAAGCACCCAAAAAACATTTCTTAGCTAAGAGAACCGATGCAAGAAGCAAATACAGAAAAATACTGTCAAGTTAGTATGAACTATGAAGAGAAAATGCTGACCACTCCCTAGGATAATCAAAACGGGCTATCTTCGATATGAGAACAGCCAACATTGCCGCTATCTGCCATACGGAAAATAAAGTCAGATACATATGCAGTCAGGGAAAATAAATCAAACAAACAAAGCAAATGTTACAACACCTGGTAATTCTCTTCCCTCAAGTGGGACAACAATTTCTGCTTCAGATGAATCTTCTCCTCGTTGCTTATACCCCTGTGAAAATTCCCAGCAAGAGTGTCAACGCCTAACCAATAATACGGCTGTAACTTTACAGAGCTCACGCCATTAGAAATCCACAAGTGTAAACCAGTCAGCTAAGTCCAGATTCAAATCTAATCCAAGTTGAAGAAGTTGGAAGGTGAAGTATCTCAACGTTACAATTTGTTTGTAAACTTGGAAAAGATGGACTTACGAAGAATTTCGTCTGCTCTTCCAATGCCGGTTAATACTGTTCTTGAAATACACTGAGGCCATCAATCGAACGTCCACATGGGACACCAAATCCTTGGATGCAATTACTTCCTGCAACCAAATGAGAGGAAATGAGCGAGTAAATTCGGATGGCATTAGCAGAAAAACACAAGAGAATAGATTAAAAAACGCACCATGAGGCAGGAGCAAAAGCCAGGTCTACTCTCCGACTGAGACAGAGCCGCCTCCGCCGGCCGTCGAACGGTCTCGTCACCGCTCATTGAATTTGCTAACAGCGAGTACATAGCCGGTAAATCGGAAGCTGACAACGCCATCAGAGCTAGCTCCGTTCTCCTCCCAACACTAAGGAAAGAAAATTCTAATCAGATCCGACGGAATCCTTGACCTAATAATCCAAGGAAGCGTATGAGGATGAACCCTAGGGGTTTGAGGAACGAAGGGAGACGACGACCGGAATAAAATCTTAAGGCGGAGAAGAAAAAAAAGGGAAGCTAGTAAGAGGAAGAGAGAGAAGAATAAGAAGTTCGTCTTCTTTCTCCGTCTTTCAACCTCTCTCTATAGCTCTTGAAACAATGTAACAAACAATACACAAATGGACAATGCCGAAAGTGAAATGTTTATATTCTTTTTCACAGTCGAAGGAAAAATACTTACCGTCGCTCTGATCGGATTCCGATCACTGAACCGGAGACTTTAACTTGGGCCGGTAATATTGGGCCTTAAGTGCATAGAGGCCCAAATAATCATATCGCGTGATTTTGGAGGCGCGTGGCCGCAGTCGACAACAATCTTCCGCTTGCTAGAATCCTATTGGTCAAGATACGTGGGAATGCATCAAATTTGCCACGTAAACACCCGCCTTAAAATTGAGAACTGGAAGCAAACGGAATTTATTTTCGAGAAATACAAGAGAAGACTAATACTTTGTAATGGACAATTTTGCCCCATCATGTTTCTTAATCTGATTTACGAATTGGGTGTCTTTTTGTAAAACTACCGAAGTATGGGAAATATTCTAAATTAAATAATAATGTAAAGGTCACTCGTGAAATATCCTTATTCATCGTTAAACCCCGCGAACCTATTTAATGAAATGTTCTCTTCTCGATTTCTCCCGAAGCGTCGAACTCCGTGAATAATATACACCGCTTGGAAGAAGAAGAGGAAGAAATAGAAGAAAAAGATTCGCAAGCTGTTCTATTGAAATGGGAAGATCGCAATTGGCGATAGCTGTTGTTCTTGTATCGACATTGTTGTTGGTGAATGTAGAGGCGAAAAGCGTTGATCCTTATAAGGTACTTGTTTTCCCAGAATTTTCCCCCAGAAATTGAGAGTCATCTCGTTTTTTGTTCTTATTTCATTCATGAGTGTCTTGATTGGGGGTAGAAAACTTGATATTATGAATTGGTTGTGTCATTTGATTGATTCTCTCATATCTAATTGAACGTTTCCTTTGTTCGCTCTGATGGGTTTCGACAATAAGTGAAAGTTGTAATCGAAATCGATGCTGAATTTTTGATTCGTTTTGGGGACTAGGGCCCGAATTCAAATTAGGCTGAACATTTTTGGGGTGTTGTATAAAGGAAAGATTGTTGATTTGATAAAAGGTTTTGCTCAGAAATCTTGCCATTGATTAGAAATGTAATAATGCAACATTTTTATACGTTATCTGTTTTTTTTTTCAGGTTCTTGGAGTATCTCGGGATGCAAAGCAGCGTGAAATCCAGAAAGCTTTCCACAAGTGCGTATCCTTTAATTCTAGTCAGTGCAAATCAATGATAGAGAAATGAAATTCTTTCAACTCATGTATCTTGTGAACATTTTTGCAGGCTATCTCTGAAATATCACCCAGATAAAAACAAAAACAAGGGTGCTCAGGAGAAGTTTGCTGAGATTAATAATGGTTGGTATCTAATTTCACTATCTCTGCTTTATTATTCCATGGATATTGTGTGTTATATATAGATTATTGCTAACCTTCTAGTACGTTTAAATGTTGTTCTTGAATTAATAATGGTTGATATTGTGTGGATCTTGCTTTGACAAGTTTTAAACCTGATTTATGTGCAACAGCTTATGAGATTTTATCTGATGAAGAGAAGAGGAAAAACTACGATCTTTATGGAGATGAGAAGGGACAGCCTGGATTTCCCGGAGGAGGTCATGGTGGACAGAGTGGTGGGTTCAATTTTGGAGGACCAGGTGGATGGCAGAACATGGGCGGTGGGGGCGGCTCCAAATCATTCTCGTTCTCATTTGGCGGTCCTGGTGAAAGTTCCTCCGGTTTTGGGATGGATGATATCTTCTCCATGTTCTCGGGAGGTGGTGGCTCTAAAGGAAGAGATGGGTTTGGTGGTTCTGGTGGTTTTGGTGGCTTTGGTGGGTTTGGTGGCTCATCAAAGGCTGAATCAAGATCAAAGAGTGGTTCAGCAGCTGCTATCAAAACTATAAATTCTCAGGTTTATACGAAGGAAATTATGGACCATGGCATGACTTGGCTTCTGTTGTCTTATCTTCCGTCTCAAAGGGGAACTCAGTACCATGAATCGATCGTAGAGGAAGTTTCTGAGTCATTGCAAGGAGCTTTAAAGGTAAACAAAATGCTAAGTTATTTTTAGTTGTGAAGCAGAAGCTTAGTTTTATGTTGTTTTACATGATTAAACTTTATGATTATATAGGTTGGACGTATAAACTGTGAAACAGAATCCTCTCTATGCAAACAACTTGGCATAGTGCCTCGTAGGGCTCCAAGGTTGTTTGTCTATTCATACACATCGAGTGGAAAAACTACGTTAGCAGAATATACTGAAGAGCTTGTTGCAAAGAAAGTGAAGAGCTTTTGCCAGGAACATCTGCCGAGATTCTCCAAGAGGATTGACCTAAATAGCTTCGATGTTTCTGCTGTTAGCTCACAGAAGACGCCTAAAATTATGCTTCTGTCAACAAAGAAAGACACGCCTGTCATCTGGCGTGTTCTTAGTGGCTTGTACAATGGACGTTTTGTCTTCTACAACACAGAGGTATGTTATATTTTGGTTTTAACTTCCACTTACATCAATGAACAGCTTAAGTATAGTCTTTTCATGATCTTGTAGATCCATGATACTTCTGATCCAGATGTTCGTAAATTGGGCGTTGACGCGTTACCAGCAATAGTTGGCTGGTTATCGAATGGGGAGAAGCAAGTCTTGAAAACAGGTATCACTGTGAAAAATCTGAAATCAGCCGTCCAGGAAATTGGTAAACTGCTAGAAGGGTTTGAGAAAAAGAACAAGAAGGTCTCTTCTAATAGTCAGCCGGGGCAAGCACAGAGCGAGTCCTTGGAAAAGATACAACTTCTCTCGAGAACAAACTTTGATTCCATTTGTGGAGAGAGCACTCCTGTGTGTATCATCGGTGCTTTCAGATCTTCACAGGGTAAAGAGAAGCTCCAGTCAATATTGTCCAAGGTAAGCAAATTATAACCCCTTGGCCCTTGCTTGAATTGTTTCTTTTGACTTGATGATCAATACTCCTCTGGCTCTACTCTTTTGTCCAGGTGTCACAGAAATCACTGTCTCGACGTCAAGCCTCAGGCACAGTTACTCAGGACACAGTATCTTATTCTCTTCTCGAGGCAGCAAAGCAATCTTCGTTCTTGAGTTCACTTGACAAATCAGAGTTCAAAACATCTGATAAGATCCTAATAGCTTACAAGCCTCGAAGAGGTAAGTTTGCTACATTCAAAGGCGATATGAGTATGGAGGAAGTTGAGAAATTTGTAGCGGCTGTTCTTAATGGAGACATACAGTTCACAAAAACTAGACAGAAACCTCAAGTCAAATGAAAGTTTTTTTTCTCGTCGGAGGTTAGTCTCAGAGATGTACATCGTTTTGTGGAAGAGAAAAAGACTCCCCCCTGTGTTGCAACTTGCAAGCTGCTTCTGGAAGCTACTGTTTACTTGCAGAGAAAGTTTGTGTATTTTCGCAGAGGCGTGAAATAGTTTTATAGGAACAGATTTTGCATAAACATGGAATTAAACGGGTTAATATGTAATTATTATAATGCAAATAAAATTGTTTGTCTTTTAAGTAAAAAGTTATTTTCTACATTTGGTAATTCACAGTGGTCAAGAGACTGAAAACTCTCATTGGCTACATCATTTTACACTTTAGCCACAAGGCAACGGAAGCGCAAGCGGAGATGATCACTCGACACCATCCAACAAATGTGTTCTTTTACTTTTCCTCTCAATCAAATCCGTGTAAATTTCTTTTATTTATTATTTTGTTAAAGGATTTCTTTACCGTTGAAGTGCCAACCGAAAGAAGCGTTAAGAGTAACACAATGTTCCAACATGTTCAAACGATGTTGTCTAGTGAAACTTTACACCTATCGAAACTGCAGTGATTGCAGAGACTGGTGACTCTTGTTTCGATTGTGAGAAACTAAAGCTGCCCAGAGGATGTGGGTATAAGATTGTCCTAAGAACTTCGTTGACCTCAAAAAATTGTAACTCCTTCACTTCAATATCACTTTAAATCCCATTTTGTCTTTCAATCCAAAGAACCGGAGAAAAAAACACTAAACCGGCGACCCAAATTTACTGATCGAACCGGCCAATTTATGGTTACAGACTTTCCAGTTAAACCCTCTGATCCGGCAAAAGAAAATAAAAAACCCTGATTCTTTCTCCAGTGTCGCGATTTGGTTCTTCTCTCGTCTTCTTCGCAAAATCGATTTGCAGGTAGTCTCGTTACAACGTTTCTGTACTTCCTTTTTTGCTTACTAGGCTTAAACTTCATACTCTTGCATTCGATTCAATTTACTTTCAATTCAGTCCTTTCAGTTCGATTAAGCTCAGGCTTCACATTACTTTCAATTCAATTCTTTCAGTTCCATGAATCGATTAGGTTTAGTTCAGCATTAGGTTCGCAGTAACGGTTCATGAATTGGTTGACAATGCTATGTTTATTAGACCCTTGTATTTGGTCAGAATTTGGTTTTCAGTTTGTGGTTGGTTTGGATTATGAAAACTTTGGGTTTTTGTTGCAGATGGTACTATTCCTGTTGCTGAGAATCACATATTAGATAGACATGGGGATCCCTAATTTTATATGGGGATTGGCAAAGAAAACATTCACTGGAGGTATTATTGGGCTCACCATTTCAGATAGATGTTGTAGCGTTTCTCCAGTGAGAGGAGATTCCATGTCTCCCACTTTCAATCCCCAGCGAAATTCTTTTCTAGGTAAATTGTCCTTTTGCAACAACAAAAAAAAAAGCTTCAAAGTAGTAGACTCTTCTTTCTTCTTTTTTTAATTATATGTTCAATTGTGGATGCAGATGATTATGTGCTTGTAGACAAGTTTTGCCTTAGCAATTACAAGTTTGCGCGTGGTGATGTTGTTGTGTTCAGGTATGTTACAATTACAAGGTTTCACTTGTGCATATAATCGTAATCCGGTTTTGTAATATCATTGTGTTGTATGTGTATATGTGGCAGCTCTCCGACTCATTTGAGGGAGAGACATATGAAGAGGATTGTGGGGATGCCTGGAGAATGGATAAGTAGTTCTCAAGATGTGATCAGAATCCCAGAAGGTCATTGCTGGGTTGAAGGAGATAACAAAGCTTCCAGCTTAGACTCAAGAACCTTTGGCCCTGTACGTTTTCATAGATTTGATCGATATGATACTCTTTCACGGCTTGTTGTTGTCACATGTGGACTGATCTGGATAAACCTTGTTTGGCAGATTCCTTTGGGTTTGATTCAAGGGCGTGTCACTCGTGTCGTGTGGCCTCCTCAGAGAATAAGCAAGATTGGTCGATAGAGCTAATGGAGAATAAGAAAGAATAGGTATGTTTTATTCTTCTTCCAAATGAAAATGCCCTTCCCTCAGTTCCTCTGATTTTTTCAGTACAAAATAATGTTTTATCAGAAAGATTGAAATGTTTTTCCATTTTTATACGATGTAGGACTCCTTCTCCTTCACATTTTTTCTGGTGTTCATTCTGTATATCAAATGTGTTCGGATCCAATATTCGTCTCCATGTTCCTCGAGATTCTTAATGGGAACTCTAAAATTCACATTTCTATCCATGTTATGCTAATTACTGTTACACCCTGTTTTAATTCACGTTTCACTGATATCACATTCTTGTGTATGGGACGAGAGTCTTGGGATTGAACACACACATTCTTTTGTATTGGACTAGATTCTTGGGGCTGAAACAAAGGTTTTGTGCTCAGGCTCTTTTGGTGCTGGTTCGCCTTCGGTTATCAAAAATTTCTTTAGCTTTAAGATTTTCGGTTTATACTCATTGAAGAAAGGAAGTGAAACCGGTACCTCCAGATGAAATTAGGTTTCAATTATATCGCTGGTTCGCACATTTAATCGTAAAGACATACGCGATAATAACCCGTCGGGTTATAAATGTTTTAGGCGTATCAGGTGTGAAATTAGGGGAAAAGGTGTGATTAAATAATTAATTTCCTTGAAGAAAAAGGCGTAGCACAATTTAATAGATTAAAATTCTATTTTACTTGCTTATATAATGCATGGAAAATTCGAAACCTCCCTTGTTCTTCTGGCGTTTCTCCTTCGAGGTATGATCAATTTCGGTTTTTTCTTTTTCATTTAGATATCGATTTTTTGGTCTCTCGTAAGAAGTTTCTGACCGTCTGGGGAATTTTCTTCATTGGAAATGTTCATTTCCTTTTTTCTCTCTCCTACTTTTTATTCACTGGGCGTAGCCAAGTACGCAAGTTTCATACTGTCTTGTATTTCATCACCTTTTTTACATTTTTGATGGAAAGCTTTCTTCTCGAGATTAACGCGCTTCTGGTCGATTCCGAATTCCGATCTCTTACCAATTTTAATGTTTTTTATTTCGTGAAACGCGAATTGATTTCGGGTAATTTCTCGTGATTTTGGTTGTGTTCTTCGCCTTGCACCGGTTCTAAATTTCTGCCCGATCGTTGATCCTCGCAGTGCTGAGAAAATTTCTCAGTTTGTCGTTTCGTTTCAGTGTGATCCTTCAATTTATTGGCGTATCGGATCAGAAATTTTTAAGTTGCTTTTTGCTGCACATCCTCATGAGTATCGTCAAGATCTGTGACGGAAATTGAGATCTGTTGTTGATGTTTCAGGTAGGTTTGGATTGGTTCGAAAATGGGAAGACTATTCTTGATAGACCTCGAAGGACCGGTTTATAGCTGCAAGCATTGCCAGACACATTTCGCTGTCATGAATGATCTAATCTCGAAGGTTAAATTTCTTCTTCTCTTCAATGCTGCTTCATTTCGTTTGATTTCTAACTGCTTGTTAATAATAGTTTTGGTTCTCATCCATTTGTTAGCCTTTACACTTGTGTTTGTACACTATATACAATATTTCAGGGACTATGATTTGTTCAAAACGCTGACTGTACACACAAACTTGCTTATTTGTTGTTCATGTTGGATTGATGAAACATACCATGATATGTGCTCATACTTGTTAGATCAAACAAGCACCTGATTTGTGTTCATGATGGTGTTGTTTCCAGTCATTTCACTGCAAGCATGGAAGGGCTTACCTTTTCGAAAATGTGTAAGTAATACTTACAAAACATGTTCATATAGTACAAGGAATCGTAACGAGGTTCCTTTATCTTTAGCAAATCCTTTTCTGATTTCATAGTGTCAATGTGACGGTTGGAGAGAAGGAGCAGCGTGTTATGATGACTGGTTGGCACATTGTAGCTGACATCTTCTGCGTTGGCTGTGGCTCTCTTGTCGGCTGGAAATACGTACAAATACTCAAAAACTCTTCTTCTTCTGAAACAACAACTTTTTCTGTGATTGTTTTTGATGCTAATTCTCTTTCTTCTTCTTTTTTCCCTTCAGGAAATTGCATACGAGAAGTCTCAGAAGTACAAGGAAGGAAAATTCATCATAGAAAGGTTTTGACCTTTCACAATCGAACCCCCAAAAATTAAACATCACAAAACTATTTAAATGGTGATTTGGTTTGATGTGGGAGTGGTGTAACCAATGTGAGCAGGTTTAAAGTGCTTGGACCCGATGGAGGCGGATACGACATGAACCATGACGAGCCGATGATGGAAAGCGACGAAGAATGAAACTGGACTCGCTTCTCTTTTGTTAGCCAATTATTGCCATATTGGACAAGTGGTCAATGCAAAACTCAATCATTTTTTTGGGGTAAGCGTACAAAAGTAATAAAAATATGTATTGATATTATAAATTAATATAGTTTTCATTTTATAAACTTTAAAACTCCATATGATAATGCGTATCAATTTTTTTATATGTTTTTGGAAAATTGTTTTGTCCGATTAGAATTCAATCATTCATTGATATGTCTACGTCAGTGAATGAATCAACCTCCAATTCAAACACCAATTTTAGTATATGCGTAGCTTCCACTAACATACCTCTTGTAACAAGATCTGTGTGAAACATACTTAGATAGTAAATTTGTATTGAGAAAGAGTGGATTTATTTGAACACTTTTCTTTTATGCAAGTTAAAACGGAACTTTAACTTAGTTCGGACCTGATTGGTTGTGGCTGTGGCTTTGATTTTATTGCTGTAGAATTTATGCTGTAGATTTTTTTGGCTGTGACTGTATATTTTAGTATTGTAAGTTTTTTTATTGTAGATTGTGACATTAAATACAACATTAAAACAAAAAAATATAAGATATAGAAATAATAGATTAAAAAGTAAATGTTGAAAAAATAATACGGAAAGAGAAAAGATAAAATTCTGAGAGCACTTAATTTTGTGCTCTAGAAAAATTGCTTTCCAAAGCCACGGAATTTCCATAAACAAAAAAAATTGATCTGCATTTCAAAAATGGAAAGAGATAGAATGAGAGCTTGATTGGCAATTTTAGATTGCTGTACAGAGATTTAGTGCTCTAGAGAGCAACCACAACCACAGCTCCTACCAATCATCCCCTTCATGACAACCGTGAGCAGGGGCGGATCCAGGAAGAAAATATACATGGGGCACAAAATATGTGAAATAACTAAACTATAAAAAATCAATAAAAATAACAAAACAAAAGTAGAATTTACCGGGGTTCGAACCCGGCTCTTGAGTTTCAACATTGGGCACTTTTAGCCATTTAGGCCACGGAATCAATATTGTTACTTGTCTGCTAGACACATATTAATATCAGTATGGGGCACGTGCCACACCTACCTTGACTGTAGATCCGCCCCTGACCGTGAGCTACTGTTACAACCTGGTTAACAAACATGATGTTAGAAGAAGAAAAATGTATTTACAGTGGCTATTAGCTTTCATAATCCAGAGATAAATAAAACTATTAACAGAAAAAAAAAAAATATCAATTGGACATTAATCAAAAGATACGAGTTTTTAGCCATGTTTCCTAGTTTATTTGGGAATTTTAATTAATTGGCATATGCCATGCCATGCCTTCACACTTGGATATTCATTTCATGTCGTATCTAGGCATCTAGCTAGTGTAATGTATGAACGTGTGACATTTGAAATGAAAAAAATGTTAGATCAAATTTGACCTCACAATTTTAACCACATTAATTTCACCAACCATAAAAGTTAAGAACACAAGTGCCTTTTCGTAATAACATAGCGTATTCATAGCCTCATAGGTAAAGATTGCACAACGTGTCTCGTGAGCTCTTTGAACCCGATGCTTCGTGTTCTGTTCAAACTTTCAAAACGATATTCAATTAAATAAAATAAAAATAGGAGGAAAAAAACAAGAGAGAGATGGTACGACCAAGGGTTGTCTGGTTTGAAATCGGAATTTTTAAAATTAAAAACAAATGTAAACAAAAAAATTCGTCGAGAAGAACATCTTCCCCACTCTCTCCCTTGTTCAACTCAAAAACTTTGATCTATTCTTTCTCTCTCGATCAATTAAAAAACCAGTTTGGGTTTTTGTCCTCTGTTCTCTAATGGCCTTTAAGATTCTCATTGGTGGTTGTTCTAGCTCTCTCAAGGTCCACTTAGTGTGATCTCCTCAGATCTGATTGGTCCGATTCTGTTTTCTTTTTCTTTTGGAGATTTTTTTTGTTCTTGTGCAAGTTCAGACACGAGACCCAGAAAAGCTTCAGTCTCAGTTTTCAAAAATGTTGACCCACGACAGAGACGAAGAACTCTCTCTATTCCTTGAAATGCGTCGTCGCGAGAAAGAACATAGAGGAGATTCTCTTTTATCAGGTCCGTGTATATATGCACTTGTATTGTATAATCATTCGTATATATTTCTGTCTTTTTTCTGTCTTGGCAATGGTGAAATTTAAAAGTCTCTTTTAGGATCGGATAATATGAGTATCAACGCAGCGTTGACGACTGCAGCGGCGGCGGCGCTCTCTGGTGTCTCCGAAACGGTGTCGTCTCAACGTTATCCTCTCCGGAGAACCGCCGCCGAGAACTTTCTCTACTCGGAGAATGAGAAATCCGATTACGATTGGTAATGTTTCCTTTCGATTTCGCTTCTAAAATATCTCTACTTTAGTTGCAGAAATTTGCAATTAAATTTCTAAGATTTTGAATACGAAAATTAGACGCAATTTGGGAAATATACTTTAAGCAACTGAACTAGATTGAAATAAGTACTAAAGCGTTATCGAATGTCTGGTCTTGCCTGATGAGAGGCAAATCTATCATCTTTGTTATTGTTCTTGACTTCTTGTCTTTTGTTCAGGCTGCTAACGCCGCCTGGCACGCCGCAGTTCGAGAAAGAGTCACATAGAAGCGTAACGAATCAACTCGATGCTCCCAATTCTCGCCCCACGGTTCTTAAATCTCGGGTATGAGAATTGTTCCTCAGACAGAACCAATTCAATTTCCTGAAAATGTCTCTGGTCCAAGTTTATGTTTGCCTTAGTAATTCAAACTCTTGTTGGGTTCTGCAGCTAGGAAACTGCCGTGAAGAGATGGTCTCAGGGAACAATAACAAGCTACAAACGCCGTCGTTTGGGGGCAGCTCTTCCTCTGTATCTACACTCAGAAGACCGTCTTCTTCAGGTAGTTCAAGGTCAACGAGCAGACCTTCCACGCCAACCAGAAGGTCTCCAACTCCAACCCCAACCCCAACCACCTCGACAACAAGGCCTGTGACCACCACCAGAGCTTCAACCTCTAGATCCTCAACACCCACCTCACGTGCCACCTTAACTGCCGCACGTGCTACTTCCACTACTACCTCCACGGCTGGTCCACGCACCACCACCGGTTCAGCGAGATCAGCTACTCCAACTCGGTCCGTGACTCGTCCGTCTTCTGCACCTTCTAAGAAGCCTTTATCAAGACCAGCCACACCAACCCGCAGGCCTTCAACCCCAACCGGTCCATCAACAGTTTCGAGTAAAGCTCCGTCTCGAGGGACTTCTCCAACTCCAACAGTGAAGTCATCAAGGCCGTGGAAAGCCCCGGAGATGCCTGGTTTCTCTTTAGAAGCCCCGCCGAATCTAAGAACAACGCTATCAGACAGACCTATCGCAGCTTCAAGAGGAAGACCCGGAGTAGCCTCAGCACCAGGTTCAAGATCAGGCTCCATAGAACGTGGCAGCGTCCCAAACAGCCACGCAAGAAGGCAATCTTGCTCCCCGTCTAGAGGCCGAGCTCCTATCGGGAACACCAGCGGGAGCCTCCCTGGTACACGTGGGAGAGGAAAGGCAAACAACGTCAGCGATAACTTGAGCCCAGTGGCGATGGGGAACAAAATGGTGGAGAGAGTTGTGAACATGAGGAAGCTAGGTCCACCGCGGCTAACAGAGAGCAGCGGTAGAGGAACAGGGAAAGCTAACTCGGCTTTTAACAGTCTTGGCTATGGGAGAAACCTCTCCAAGAGCTCAATCGATATGGCCTTGAGACATATGGTATGATCATTATTGATCACCATTTTACATATATTCAGTCACCTTTTTTTATGAGCTCTTTTCGATTAACCGTGTGGTGTGTCTGTTTGTCTAGGATATAAGGAGAGGCATGACAGGAAATCTGAGGCCGCTAGTGACGAAAGTTCCGGCATCGGCAATGTACAGCGTGAGAAGCCGGCCGGGGAGTGTGACGAACTCTCCGGTGGCGACGAGCAGCACGGTTAGCTCATCGGAACCGAGTGTGGACAACATTAATATTCTGTGCTTAGATGGGAACGAAGCAGAAAACGATGATCTTCTCAGCGAGAGAAGCTTTTCTTCTCCACGAAACCAGTTCCCCAAGTTCACTTCTTGACCTAATACTATAGAACAAGTATATTCTTGTGCTTGTTTTTTGTTCACGTACTTGGAAACGACGTGTTTCTAAGCAAGTAAAATTTATGAAACTCTCGGTGTCAAAACGTGTTTTTTGTCTTCGTAAATGTTCACTCACAAAGGAACTGCTAAAGGGTGTTTAAAAGGTTTAAAACTTTCACCGATATACCTGAACAATGCCACAGATATTGACAGATAAATGAAACTTTGAAAGTCTCGTTGTCGCTTTCGAGTTTTTTTTCTTTTCTTTCTATATTTCATTTTGTTTTCGTCACTTTCTAGCATCAGCAGCAGCCGAACAAGAACAAAATTAATACAACAACAGAAATTGCAGAAAGACATTTTTAGCGTGTTCACTGTTCATAAGCACTGTGTTTGGTTGATTGCTGAATAAATTTATTGACAACCTCAAGAAAAAGTTGAAAAAGCAAACTCGTGGATTTCTCTTTGATTAACTCTACGGTCAATGGATTTTTTCAACTATCAAAATTTTCAAACAAATCCATAATATTCAATCTTCTTCTTCCTGAATATACATCGAGAAGACATGTGGTTAAATTTTTTCTTAGTTCTGGTCGAATGTGGTTAAAAAGTCTCATACCCTTAAAACATAACCCTATGCATGCTTGTGTTACAAGTAAAGAAATAGTACATTTTCAAAACGTAACTGCAAACGTTTTCTTTGGTTTGCGTTTAGGTTCTCGCGCGCGTTTACAATTAACGAGAATAATTTTTTTTTAACCTACTAAAAGTTGTGGTTTCACTTGGAGGAAAAACACCCAATCATATAACATGTAAATGCGAGAAAAAGAATATTCGAGGCTTTAAACTGTGTTTTAGGGAGGCTATTAGAGTGCGTGGATCCGGGTCTAACCAAGTCGACAGCTCACAGAAAATATCGTCAACGCGCGCAACGTTACAACGGGAAAAAAAGCTCAGCCATTCCTCAAGGGTGTGTTATGTCCTTTAAGCATCAGAGAGATGGCTCCTAGATGATGATTCTTTTCTGTTAATGGAGAGCAAACTAATATTCTTGAGTACATAAACAGTTTCTGAAGTATTATTATTATCTTTGTATACATATAGAAAATCAAATGTCATGAACTTATGAATGATCTATAGCTTTGTCGAAACAGAGAGTGCAAAACATAGAGAGAAAGCAAGAACACACGCTTTTTACAAATTTAGAATTTCAGAATGAGATATCCAATCTCGGTTAAGTTTTACTCCTACCAATTCACTATAATGTTAATGGAGCGAGTGTACAATGGTCGAGGAATCAATCTCACAATGACAGCTCAACCTAGACTTTGTATTTATTTGTGATATGCTTAATTATCTAGTAGGAAAGTGTTTTGGATTTGAAGCTTATATATATATATACTTACAACTGTTTATAATGAATCACAAAAGATACCACATCTGACCAATTTCAGTTTAGTTGTCTGGCATTTCCGTATTTCCCCAAAAGCCAACTGTGTTTTACTTATTGTTGGCATGAATTTGCAACATTCTCTTGAGTTTAAATGATTGAAACTTATATTATTAACCTATATCAAGTTATCAACCATCGACAATAATGAGATAGAGTATAATATAATAGATAACAGATTTTGTGTACCTAACTATGCTTTCAATTGTCAAATTCAAGATGCTTCCATGATTTAAGTGTTTTAACAATGTCAAGTTGCGTGGATAGAAAATGTATGTGGACTTATTCCAAACCTATCCTTTTCTCGCCTTAATTTCCAATTCGACTATTTTGTTCAAGAAAAAACAAAACAATACCGTGAAGAATGGATTAGACCATTTTAATGATTTTATTTTCAAAGAAACCCAACAAAACTGAACTAATAGGAAAATGCCTCACACATCTAGTACATATACCTCACTTTTAGCTTTTTAGCCTTTTAGGTGCCTTCAACGAAAATGTTAATTCAAGTTAACATAACAAAGGAATAATATCAGTCAACTATGGATATACGTGTTTATCATTCGGGATATTTAAAAAAAAAAATTGATAGTAGTATAATTCCAAAATAATAGTATAATAGTAGTATATTTAACAATTGATTTGTACTTACAAAATAAATTATCAGGAAAGGTTGTAATAAAGATAAGGTTAGCGGTTCAAAATAATGGATAATGTTCACTTGATTGATAAATCAAAAACTTACCAAATTACCAACCAAACCTTAAATTTGTAAATACGTGTTCAATCTTTCTAAATTCGAAAAACTAAAACCAAATACATTTTGTTGTTAATGAATTTGTTAGCAAGTAATGATTTGATGTTAGCAAATAATGATTTGAATATTAGCAAGTAATATGAGGTAACATAATATTTGTTAGCAAGATATTAAGGTGTTTGTTAACAAGGTGACATGTTATTTATTAGCAAGGTAATATAATGTTTGTTAGCGATATAACGAGGTGTTTATTATTTCGTTAACAAATTTAGCAAGTTTAAAAAATACAAAATTTTACAATAAATTTTAATGTGTGAGAATATTTTAATTTATTTAAGACTCTTTCATTCCCAACTTGCATAATATTATTATTTATGTTTCACTGAGTAGGGGTATATATGTATGAATCCTTTATATATATCTATACTGATTTAATTAATAGTTATTATAGTCATATTTCAAATTGTCATATTATTCATGTATATTGATATTGACTAAATTTACCCAACCTTTTTTTAACAAATATAGCAAAAAAAATAAGTGTGAAAAATCATGACAATGTGTTTAAGCTTATGGTCCCCATTTAATTATTAGTTATATAACGAAAGTAATAATAACATATAGAAGTCTAACATAGAGACCTCATCGTCTTCTGGCGGCTTAAAGAACTTTTCAAAACACGACAGCTTCAACCACAAGCAAAAAGATTTCACAAACAAACTATAAGGAAACAAAAACACAGACTTCACAAACTGATTTTCTTTTTCCTCCAAAATTTATTTTCCACAAAAAAAAAAATGGATACTGAAATGGCGAAGAAAGTCACGGCGATGTTTGATCACCGGCGGCTAAACCGCTCCGGATCATCACTGTTCACGGCGTTTGCTGCCACAGTTATGGCTCTGATCGTTTTCACGATCGTTCTCATCTCTAATCTATCGTTGGGAGATGTCTCAGCAGAGGTCTTGACAATAGAGATCAAGACAGTTGTTCCTTACTTACCTCTAAGCTCAGAGAAAGAGCCAAGCCAAGGCAAATCCTTCTCTATCCAGCAGAAAATCACAGTCAACGAGAATCCTCTTCAAGTCATTGAAGTTTTTAGCGGCAGAGGCGTGTCGGAGAAGTTTCAGCAGAGAGCAACAGAGTTTCTAAGAGACGACTGCGATGTCAGTTTCATGATGACATGGATCTCCCCTGCGGAGTTTTTCGGTAAGAGAGAGGTTTTGTCCGTCGAGAGCGTTTTTAAATCTCATCCTCGAGGTTGTTTGATCATTTTATCATCGACAATGGATTCTCCTCAAGGTTTCAGAATCTTGAAACCGTTTCTTGATCGAGGTTACAGAGTTATGGCGGTCACGCCGGATTTGCCATTTCTTCTAAAGGAAACCGCCGGAGAATCGTGGCTTGAGGAGATTCAGACAGGGAAAAGAGATCCAGGGAAGATTCCATTAGCTCAGAATCTGTCGAATCTCATGAGACTCGCGTTTCTGTTCAAATTCGGAGGTGTTTATTTAGACACGGACATGATTGTTCTCAAGAGCTTTAAAAGCTTAAGGAATGTGATCGGTGCGCAGACTCTCGAACCGGTTTCGAGGAACTGGACGAGACTGAACAATGCGGTTTTGGTCTTCGACAAGAATCATCCTTTCCTACTCAAATGTATCGAAGAATTCGCGTTGACTTTCAACGGAAATGTTTGGGGTCATAACGGTCCGTACCTTGTCTCTCGTGTGGCTCGAGCCGTGGAAGGAACAAGCGGTTATAACTTCACTATCTTGACACCTCCTGCGTTTTATCCGGTGAATTGGGTTGAGATTGAGAAGCTGTTTAAGGTTCCAAGAACAGAGAAGGACTCCAAGAGAGTCGAGGTTAAGGTTCGTGAGATGCATAAGAGAAGCTACGGGTTACATCTGTGGAACAAGTTTAGTAGTAAATTTGAGATTGAACAAGGAAGTGCCATGGATAACGTTGTTTCAGATCATTGCGTTATCTGTGAGAAAGTCTCTGTTTCATAAAGACTTTTCGTTTTGTTTTGTATGTTAATTCCATTGTAGATTAGTTTTGTCTGTAATTATTAATTAGCAATGAAAACCTCCATTTTTTTTTTCATCGGTTAAACCAGGCCAAACAAAGACACTTCAACGACCACTAATTAATCAATCCCTACAAAACAAAAAATAATAAATTACATTTCACAATCAAGAAACTTGATGTAGTTGACTTCACATTTCACAATCATGCATGAAAATCACCTGCAGAATTGTTCAGCGTTTGTGTTTGCGCTTATAAATGATCCAATAGATTAATTGGGCCAAGCCCATATAGGTTGACACGTCAGCCCATATAGAATTGTTCAGTTACAGTTACGTTTCTTCCCACAGCCCAATTCGTCGTCAGCTGAATCGAAGCTCTCAAACGGTCAAACCGGCCAGTGATGGCTTCCGATGGCAGCGAGCGAGTGAAGCTCAACGTCGGCGGCAAAATCTTCGAAACCAACGCATCGACCATTCAATCAACCTGCCCAGACTCTCTCCTTGCTGCTCTCTCTACTCCGACTTCTCATGGATCCATCCCTGTGTTCATCGATCGTGACCCGGAGATATTCTCCGTCATACTCAACCTCCTCCGAACAGGACGACTCCCTGCTAATTCCTCCGGCGGTTTCTCCAAGCAGGAGCTACTCGATGAAGCTCTGTATTACGGCGTCGAGTCACTCCTCCGGTCGGCGATGTTGCCGCCGCCGCTGCTAGGCTTCGATGCTTCTCTCGTTTCCACCATCGCACCGGCAGCTGACGGAGTTCCGTCTGCATTCACCGCCACTGCCGGAGACGCCTCTCTGTGGATCGCTCACGGCGGACAGGTCTCCGTCTACGATTGGAGTCTTTCCCACGCTGGAACCGTCCGTACGCATCTCAGTGATATCACTTCGATCTGCCGCGTGTGGGCGGAGGCGGCGGCGATCGGATCTGGATCCGCATCCGGACTTCACTTCTACGACCTCTCAGGGGGTCGATACATCGGATCTACGCACTGGACGGATCCGGAGGATCCGAGAATCCATAAGGCACGAGTCGCCGCCGTCGTCGATTCGACTAATGGAGTGTTCGCGTCATTCGATTGCTTGCACAGAGAGAACAGCGTTGTCCAGATCGACAAATCCACTCTCCAAGTCGCCGCCGTCATCGGCCAGCAATCTGGAAGCTCCGCTAAAACCGCCGTACCGGAGAAACTGCGGTGGGTGCCAGAGAACGGTCTTTTGGTGGGATCCGCCGTGCAACGTGGAGTGTTTGGATGCTCCGGCTACATACGGATCTGGGACCCGAGATCCAGGAGCATTGTGTGGGAGACGAGTGAGCCAGGCTCGGGACGAAGCAGCAGGTTCGGAGACGCCTTAGCCGACGTGGACGTCGATACCGAAGACTGTATCCTCTTCAAGATTTGTTCCAAGTCAGGTGATCTCGGAATGGCAGACATTCGTAAATTAGGTGATGATCCATGGGTATATGTGTCAGACGAGAATCACGGCGCGTTTAAGGTCGGCGAAGGAGACCGGAGCGGCGGTTACAGCGTCGTGCATTGTTACAGAAAGCAAGTGTTGGCCGCGAGAGGTGGCGCGTTAGAGGTGTGGTCAGGGGTTAAGGAGAAGACTATTCGGAGAAGAAACTTTGTAGACAAGGAAGAAGATTCCGAGAGAGGGATGATTTCGAGAATTGAAGCGGGAGGTGATCGGCTCTTTGTTTCTCGGGAGTTTATGGAAGGCGTTGAGGTCTGGGAAACTTGTAATTTCTCAGGTTTGATCTCCGTCGAGTAACGTGGGAAGAGAACAGTGAACATCACATATCAAATTTTCAAACTTTTTTTGGAAAACACATGAACAGAAATGAAGAACATCATCAATATTCAATCTTTGTTGTTGTAAAAACCACGAGAGACCTCTTCTGTTGTAATTGGCGCGTAGAATTTTGTATTTGTAAAGTTCTGGTTCTAATGGATAAACTACTGTAACAAGCAACTAAGTTAGGTTTTATTTAAGTGGGAAAATTATGTTCAAGAACAATGCGTGAAATGCAAGCTTCTTGATGTAATTAATGGGCGTTGATTTTAGATCTAAAATACTAAATATCAATGTCAGGATTATGGTATAGTTGGGGGTATGTATGTTTAGGGAATTTTTCGATAGTATCTTTTAGAGTTCATGAAAGCAAGTTTCCATTGTATAGATAGCTAAAATTCAACTACTCTCAATTGTCTTTCTCAAACCTACTACACCTAATGCACTCTTTACTCATGAAGTGTTCACCTTTTTGAACAAGACAAAAGAATCTTTCTTTATGTTTTTTGCTTTCTTGCCAGTGTAATAAACCTTTTGTTGCAACTTCTGGTAGTGCATTCCACACAAAGGTCTTGTCTTGACAGGAGAGAGAGGAACACAGGTTTTTTTAATGTAAGTTTTTTCCTTGGATTCTTTAGATACTATCGATATATTTTGTTCTTGTTTGGTCAGGTTTCTTGGACCTACAATTTCCGTAACGCTTAAAGTTTATTATGATAAAAACCAGTTTGTGTTGAATCATCATCCTTCTTTTAAGAACATATATTGGAAATTTCCTCTTGTTTTTTTTTCTAACAAGAATTATTATTTAAGAAATGGGGTCAATAAAGAAGAAAGCCAAGTGGGGATTTCCCATGAGCTTTCTTGTCTTTGGTCCTTTGATGTCGACCCCTCCTTTTGAATTTTAAACCTGGCTTCTTCTCTCTTTTGTTTTTTTGGTCGTTACAAATTTAAGGAGTTAATGATATCTCCCGTTCATGAATCAATCATATTAATGGTTTAACACAATAGAACTTATGTTAGTGTTTATACCAAAATACAGACAAGGTTAGTGTAATCTTATATTCATTTCCCCCATACACCTTGACCTTTGGTTTGTAATGATGAATGTTGAAAAGATGATTAAGTATGTAATTTTTACTAGTCAATAACCAATATTTTTTTTTGTGAATTTAAAAGAAGGAATATAAACACTCCTATACAATGCTCAATTTTCAATTCTTTTAACATTACAACAACGAAAAAGAGAGTAGTAGGAGCTTTGTTTGACCCGACTTGAATTAATCTAAACAAATTAGGAAGACCACGTTGAGACGGAGTTTGATCTAGACAGAGAAGAAGAAGATTTCAAGAACTCAATGCAGTCTTCAATAGCTTCTGCTCGGTGAGACTCTGACTCGGAGAGAGACTTTGACCTTTTCATGTAAATAGACGATGAAGAAGAAGAAGACGACGACGAAGACAACAATAACGATGATGTTTTGTCGGTAGTATTCCTCCCGAAGGACATAAAACGCAGTGTTTTGGCGACTCTAGCTCCGATACGTCGGATCAGCTTCCTCGCGGCCGGCGAGCTCCTTAAACCGAAACCGAAAATTCCGATGAGGACCACCTTTCTCCGGTCGTGATGTTTTGGGAATATGGGATCGTTTGTAGCTTCTGGGTTCGGACTAAAGCTTACTCTTTTGCATGCTATTCTTGACATATCTTTTTATCTGAAATTATGTTGAGAGAGAGAGAGAAGCAAATGTGAGATTTCGAAGACCATTTATGGGAAGGTGTGTTTGAGAGAAAAGACATTGGGGGGTGAAAATGTAAATAGAGAAAATAGAGGGTATTTACAAAGTGATTATGAAAGTGTGTTTATTCTCATTAACTATTTAATGTGACATTTACAATGTATATATAGGTGCGGTTAAGCTAAAGGAAACTAAATCACATACGGTTTATTATGTACAATCAAATCGATATAATCTAATACACCCTCCTCAAGCCTTTAGAAGCAAAACAGGGACAGCAGCAGGATCAGGATCATGCTGAATGATGGAAGCTGTTTGTGGATGAAAAAGGCTTGAAATGGACATGCGATGTAGAAGATTGTAGAAAGGACCTGGATGCAGGGCCTTCGTCAAGATGTCAGCATGCTGATTCTCACTCGTGACATGAAAAAGCTTCATGAATCCACTCTTCACTTGGTCACGCACCGTATGACAATCCACCTCGATATGCTTCGTGCGTTCGTGAAAGACCGGGTTACTCGCAATATGCATAGCTGCCTTGTTGTCGCAGAATAGTTTAGCTGGCGAGCAAGGTGTAATCTTCATATCCCGGAGAAGTTGAGACAACCATAGAAGTTCACAAGTAGCAAGGGCCATACTCCGATATTCAGCCTCACAACTACTGCGACTCACGGTCTGCTGTTTCTTCGACTTCCACGAAATCAGTGACTTGCCAAGATAGACCATGTAGCCAGAAACAGAACGACGAGAGTCGGGGCAAGTAGCGTAATCAGCATCGGTAAAAGCGTTCAAACAAATCTCAGAATCAGCCGGATAGAATAAGCCTTGACCCGGATTCGCCTTGATATAGTGCAAGATGCGATGAGCAGCTTGAAGATGAATATCCGTAGGGCAAGATAGGAACTGACTGAGATTGTTGACCGCAAAAGTAATATCAGGGCGAGTGATCGTCAAGTAGAGTAGGCGACCTATAATCTCGCTGCTGGCAAGAGGTGTGCCGGTGTCCTTTTTTCGTAGTTTCAACGTCGGATCCATAGGAACAGAAACCGGTTTGCAAGCAAGGAGACCCGTTGCCGTCAAAATGTCCAAAGCATACTTGCGCTGACAGATGGAAATGCCTTTGGCAGAACGGGATATCTCCAGACCCAAGAAAAATTGGGGAACGCCAATGTCTTTGATTTTGAAAGCAGCATGAAGATGACGCTTCAGAGACTCCAATTCAACATCAGAGTTCGTTGCAATCAGAATGTCATCAACGTAGACGAGCAAAGCAATGAAAGACGTCTCGGTGACCTTGACAAAGAGTGTATTGTCACCAGGAGACTGCACGAAACCAGCCTTCAAAACGACACCCGAGAAGCAATGGTACCATTGACGAGAAGCTTGCTTCAGGCCATAGATGGATTTGTGGAGACGACAGACGGGATTCGGAGGAAGAACGCCATTAGCAGGAGTGTAGCCGAGAGGTAAAGTCATATAGATCTCCTCATCTAAGTCTCCATGCAAAAATGCGTTTGTCACATCCATCTGCCAAAGAATCCAACCAAGAGAAGATGCCAAACCCAGCAAATATTTCACACTAGCAAGCTTGGCCACAGGGCTAAATGTATCAATATAATCAATGCCCTCTTGTTGTGTATAGCCCTTAGCCACCAAGCGTGCTTTGTATCTCTCAATCGTACCATTAGAAAGATATTTAATGGTAAACACCCACTTACAACCAATCACGTGCTTTCCATTGGGAAAAGACACAAACAATGCTCCATGTTCCTAAAGCCTCCAGAGCAACAATCTCCACATCCATAGCATTGTTCTAGAATGGGTTTGTAATGGCTTCCAAAAAATTCTTCGGTTCCGTCTCAATTGTTATTGAAAGAATGAAAGATTGATATGGAGGACGAAGTTTATGGTAAGCAAGAACAGAGGAAAGAGGAAAAGGGATGTGAGGTGCAATAGAAGGAGCAACTTTAGGTGTTGTATATTGAGCAAAGAGAGAACAATGGTAATCGGAAAGATAGCTAGGCGTCTTACCTTGTCTCTTCGGACGAACAATGGGAAGTGGACCATTCCTTGTGTCAGTTGTAACAGCCTTCTTCCGAGAAGACGAAGCACTAGTGTCCCGCGGAGGTAATGCAGATGATATTGATGCATGTGAATCAGTGGGAATTTGAACATTATCACTAGATGCAGGACTAACAGATGCAGATGCATGGTTATCACTAGAAGTAGGCAGTAAAGGAGAAGAGGAAGGAACCAACTCTGCTGGAGTAAGAGAAACTTCAGGAGAAGCAGAAGTAGGAGAAGGGTCAGAATTTACTGGGTTCGCAGGAGGAGAAACTACTGGACTAAGAGCCACAGGAGTAGAAACCGGCAAGACAAATGTATCAAACAAGTCATCAATCGGTGAAGCAGGAGAATTCTGTTTAAAAGGGAAAACAGTCTCGTGAAATATGACATTACGAGAAACAGAAACCTGATTAGTATCCAAGTTTAAAACCTTGTATCCTTTATAACCAAAAGAATAACCAAGAAAAACACATGGAACTGCACGAGGACTGAACTTGTTCCGATCTTTGAGATGAGTCGAGACATAACAGAGGCAGCCAAACGAACGCAAAAAAGCGTAATCAGGAGGTTTCTGAAACAATACCTCATAGGGAGAGCGTTTCTGTAAAAGCAATGACGGTGTCCGGTTGATAAGAAACACAGCTGTCAAAACACAATCACTCCAATAAACCAAAGGCATATTAGACTGAAACATTAAAGCTCGAGCAACATTGAGAAGATGCTGATGTTTCCTTTCAACGACTGAGTTCTGCTGGGGAGTATAAGCACAAGAGAATTGGTGAATCATACCATGTTCTTGGATCAATTTTGTAAAAGCAAGTTCTGGAGCGTTGTCACTGCGAATAGCCTTTACTTTTGCATTATATTGAGTTTGAATATGTGAAAGAAACGCAGGAAAAATATCAGAAACATCACTTTTATTTCTCAACATGTATAACCAAGTAACACAGGTACAATCATCTACAATAGTAAGAAAATACTTGTACCCTTCCACAGACTCAACTCTAAAAGAACCCCAAATATCCAAATGAATAAGATCAAAAGGAGACACAGACAAACGATTATTAGAAACAAAAGGCAACCCTTTTTGTTTAGCCAGAGGACAAACCTCACAATGACTATGACTCGACTTGGACAATGGTAAAATACCAGGAATATGTTGTAGCTTAGCAGAAGAAGGATGTCCGAGACGCTGATGCAAAACATGACCATCCACAGAAGAACCGCAGAAGTGGCGAGAAGAAAGCAAAGCAGCCGACTCGAGAATATAGAGATTATGAATCAGAATCCCTCTACCAATCGTCAAGCCCGAATATGGTCCTGGAGAAAGCAAGAATCATGATAAAAGTGAGCCGAGCATTGTTGATATTGAAGAAGAGAACTCACACTAATCAGATTAAACTTGAATGCAGACACATGTAAAACATCATGCAAAATGAGATGCTCTGAAATATGCACAGTGCCAGTATGACTAATGGGAACACTAGTGCCATCGGGGAAGGAGACTGTTACACCTGTCACAGGAAAAGTCTCACGAAACATTGTTAAATCCGAACAGACATGGCTAGTAGCCCCACTATCTATAATCCAAGAACCAAGAGGGAGAATTGAAGAAAGAGAAGAGAGACATTGATGTTGAAAAGTAAGAGAATGGTTCTCAAAACGAAGACTAGTGGAGGGAAAAGCAATTGAGACGTTACCAGAAGTAGATTGAGGATCCATGTAACCATTCGTTGTAATAGATGCAGATAGGGAAGGAGACGATTGCTCTGAAACTTGGACACGGGCACTGAGTTGATTGATCAAGGATTGCACTTGTTCAGTTGTGAAGTGAGTGAGATCAAGAGCTGGAGAAGTTCCCATCGGACCCGCCACAACATTAGCAACAGCATTAGCTTTCTGAGATGCATTAGACGGAAAAGATTGACGAGGTCCTTGTTGCGGGTACGGAGGTGCAGAAGAAGGCTTGGAGGAAAACTTATGACTAGGAGGATATCCATTAAGCTTGTAGCACTTCTGTATAGTATGACCAATCCGTCCACAATGGGTACACACAGGTTTCTGGGAACGCGAATAAGTAGCAGCATAAGCAGCATTCTCAGAGGGACCAGTGTAGCAACCATTCTCAGCAACATCTCCACTCAAAGCAACAGGGCCTGAATTCTGAAAAGCCACATTATTCTTCGTCGGAGGCTTGATGCTCTTCTGACGTTCGTCCTGAGCCACCATGTTGAAAACATCCTCAATGGAAGGAATCGGCTTCAGAACAAGAATGTGACGACGAGTCTGCTCATAGACTTCATTCAATTCCATCAAGAACTTCGTAACCCTGCTCCGCTGCTGCAATTTCTCCCAACAAGCAGCGGCATTGCACTCACATCGACCACAAGTACATAGAGGAAGCTCAACATAATTGTGATGCTCTTCCCACAATGCAACCAACTCTGTATAGTACGTGCTAACATCCATTGAACCTTGCTGAATAGAATTCAAACGTTGTTCAATCTCGTAAACACGAGGAGCATCATCCTGCCTAAACCGAGACAACAAGTTCTTCCAAATTTGTTCAGCAGTTGACATGAATAACAAGCTTTGACCTATCTTCTTCGTCACAGAGTTCATCAACCACGTAGCTACCATATCATTGCACCTAGACCAACTACCAGCATCTCTATGACCATTAGGCGGTTTAGGAATTGTACCGTCAATGAAGCCCAATTTGTTCCGAACTTTGAGAGCCATACGAACGGATCGACGCCATGAGTGAAAGTCAGATCCAGAGGCAAGACGATCGGAGACGAGAATGAGTCCGGCGTGATCAGAGGAATGCAAGAAGTAAGGATTCTCGTATTGGTCAACCATCGGAGGACGAAGATCGGGAATCGCAGTCGCAGCATCAACATTCGATCCCATTTCCAATGCGGAAAAAAAATGAGAACGAGGAAGAAGAATCAAGCCGCAGAGATGAAAAAGAAAGAGAAAACAGCGTTGATTAAGGTCAACAAAGAGGCGAAAGAAGCAGAATCAAAACGGAAAGCGAAATACGCGAGAAAAGCTCAATGACTGCGATTATCAGCTGGAAAACGAAATCGGAGACGATCAGAGTGAAGGAAACACTCATCGTTGAAGATCGATAGCTCAATTTCGTCCAGATCTGAAGAAATCGGAAGAGAAAGCTTGAATGAGAATCAATGGCGGAAAAGAGGTAGTTAGGAGCTGTTTAGGCTCTGATACCATATTAACAAAGTGATTATAAAAGTGTGTTTATTCTCATTAACTGTTTAATGTGACATTTACAATGTATATATAGGTGCGGTTAAGCTAAAGGAAACTAAACCACACATGGTTTATTATGTACAATCAAACCGATATAATTTAATAGAGGGGTCATTTAACAACCACACTAAAAAACTGAGTAATTTAATATTTTAATTAGTACCTTCAAATGGAAACATCTGATCAAAACTAAACAAATGGTATGAAGCAAGATATTCATCTTCTAATGGCGTATTGTAGAAGAATAATGGGGATAAACTAGAGAGAAAGTAATAATATTCAATATAAATCGGGAATGACAGTAAATGCATAAATAGCCTTCTTCTTAGTCAACAAGCACTACGAGAGAGAGATATTGAGAGGGAAAGTGAGAGCGAATCGAGGTCTCTCTAGTATCTGGTTTCTGCAGAAGACATATATTTTAATATATATCTTCTTCACATAAATCCACACCAAAACAATAAAAACTACTTAAATTTCTCTTCTTGGTAATTGGAATTCATTCTCGAATCCTAAAAGATTCCATCTAGAAGTAGAAGAAGAAGAGCTTAGCCATTAAATCAGAGAGATCTTTCTTTTCATTTAGTTACGTTATGGCTATGTTGAAAACCCTATCCTTTTTGTTCGTTTTATGCTTCGAGATTCATGGTCATGGAACCATGGCTGCAGATGTGAATTCATCGTTTTCCTTTGATGGGTTCGCAAAATCTCCGAGCTTTGACAAGAACGTTGCTCTGTTCGGAGATTCGAAGCTGGAGAACGACAGTTCTTCGATTCAGCTGACTGACTCAGTGAGTGGAAGCGTGGGACGAGTCGTTTACAGGAAACCCATCAAGCTCTTCCAAGGTAAACAGAGGAATTCGGAATCTTTCTCGACTTACTTCTCGTTCTCGATGCCGAACGAGATTGGTGATGTCTTGGCTTTTGTAATGGTTCCAAGTAGTTTGGATCTTAGTCTGTTTGGTAAGAAAGATAACAGTTCCTCTGCTTTAGGGTTTCTATTACAACACGCAAAGAACAAGAAAGTTGTCGCTTTTGAGTTTGATATATCCGATAGAGGAAACAGTGCAAGAATCTTGATTGGTAGGCCTGAATCTGCTGAAATTAGAAACCTTTCGTTTGAGGGTGACTTGGTTATGAACAGTGGAGGGAGGTTGAGCTGTATGATTGAGTATGAGGCAAGTTCCAAGAGAATGATGGTTCGGTTCAGAAAATCCGGTTCGGTAAAGCTGTTCGATCCGTTCTTCTCTTTCTCGGTAGACTTGGCCAAGTTATGGAAAAACGGTGAAGTCACTGTGGGTTTAAGCTCTGCCAATGGGAACTCTTCCAAGGCACATTTTATCCATTCGTGGAGCTTTGAGATTAGGCATCTTCCTCCGGCGTGGATGCATTCAGTGCCACTTTTACCGAATGAAGAAGCTTTGAAGGTTAACAGTATTACGGAGGAGGAAGAAGGTAGAGGGAGAAGTGAGTGTATACGGAGAATGCTTGGTGCGTTGGTGTTGGGTGTTGGATGTGGAATCTTAGGGGTAATGTTGGCTTTGTATCTCTGGACAATATGTGGTGTGAGGCAGTCAATGGTGGTTCCAGAGAAATGTCCTGTGAAAACAGTGAGTGTTGTGGTGGTTGCTGTTGAACAAGGCAACAAGTAGTGAGGACTGAGGACTGAAGAGTTTGGTTTGAGTTTGTAAGGTTGTCTTAGTGTAAATGTAGTGATTCTTCTGTGTGTTTCCTTAGTTGCATGCTTTGTGATGTGATTTCACATGTCAAATCACTTGAAATGTAAAATCACTATTAATCTTGCGAAATTAACTAGTTCTTGATGTTGTTGTTCTTAGATCCGTTTTGGATTGGTTCAGCAATTACACTGTGTCACCAATGTAACATCCTATCTATTACTGGTTCTGGATCAAAACACGTACTTCTCATGGTACAAAAACCAGGACCCACTTTGTCTTCATCTCACTTTGATGTTTATTGCAACCTATGAGTGTGAACTGAGTAAGAAAAAAAGTCTTTGTTCACTCATCTCGTGAACACGGATCAAATGTCTAGAAACAAGACAACATTCACATGTGTCATCAGCTGCCACTTGCTTCTATGTCACTGATATGTCTTACTCTTAACCGAGAAGAAAAACAAAGAAAGGAATGTGAATTTTAAAATTGAAGGTACAATTTCAGAATTTTTATTAACGGTTAAAAGTACGGATCCCACACAAGGTTAGTTGAGTTATACGAAATAATAAAAGAGATTTGGTCGGCTTTGTATGCACTCTAAGTTCCTAATTTTGTATCTGATTCTATGAACTGATATCATAATCGTTAGCTTTTGTACGAAATCAAACATGGTAGAGATAGCAAAAATGTTAGTTCCCTGTTATCACCCACACACACAATCAAGAGAAGAATGTTCCACGAAATCAGGATTGACGATGGCATCACCTTTCACCAAATCATATAGATCTTCAAGTAACATCTCAATATCTTCTATATCAGAATGAGATTTGTCTCCTGCAGCAAAAATGTGTGTTATTCGTCCCACATCAATCCAGCTACATCCAGGTACCTTCTTGACTCCTTTATCTCTCATGGCTTTCCTCAAAGCATTCGCCTTTTCCCAACATCCCTGTGAGGCATATATGTTGGAAAGAAGAACATAAGCTGACGAGTTTTGTGGCTCTAGTTCAATGAGCTTCTCAGCAGCAATCTCTCCCCTAATGTCATCTCCATGGATTCTACATGCACCGAGAAGAGATGACCATAGTCTTGCGTCTGGTTCCAGGTTTTGTGCTCCTATCAAGTCAACGGCTTCTTGAAGATATCCCCATCTCCCAAGAAGATCAACCATACACGCTACATGATCCACACGCGCTTCAATGCCATATTGACTAATCATCGTCTCAAAAATCTTCTGTCCGTCAGACACTTTCCCTGCATGGCTACAAGCTGTAAGAACACCTAGGAATGTGATTTCGTCTGGCTTGATACGGGCTTGTCTCATGGAATCAAAGATTTTAAGAGCATCTTCCGCGTGACCATTTTTCGCATATCCATTGATCATGGAGTTCCATGAGACAACGCTGCCTCTACGTCTCATTTCATCGAAAACTTGCGATGAACTTTTCATGTCCCCACATTTAGCGTACATGTCGATTAGGGTGTTAGAGGTTAACTCGTCCAGATCATGAGCCAAATGGAAGGCCATAGAATGGATAGCTCTACCTTCTCTTAACGAGGAAAGGACAGAACACACTCGGAGAACAGTGACAAACGTTGCCTGGTCAGGTAGAGCACCATCATGACGCATTTCTTTGTAGAAATTCAAAGCCTCCTCATAGAAACCATTCTGACTATGCCCTGACATCATCCCCGTCCAGAGAACGATACTCTTAGGGTTTGGTAACTCTGAGAAGAGAGCACACGCCTCCGCCATTCTACGTGAATTCATGTACAAGCCCACAAGGGAAATCCCTAGATATTCACCTTCGTACGAGGCCCCTCTCTTTATAACTTGACCGTGAAATTGTGTTCCTAGGGTCAAACATTCTGGTTTATGACAAGCTTCAACAATGGTGGCGAAAGTGATTTCAGATGGGTTAACACCTCTGGCCACCATTTCTTGATAGAGAGCTACAGCTTCTTCCAAGTTGTTCTGAGAATAGCCGGCAATTAGAGCATTCATTGACACAACGCTCCACTCAGGCATAGAAGAGAAAACTTTACGTGAATCTTCAATGACTCCACACTTGGCATACATGTCAATGAGCGAGCTACCAGTATGAAGTTCTGTGTCTAAGCCACACTTGACAGAGAGGCAGTGAGCTTGTTTCCCTTGATAAAGGCCATGAACATTTGCACATGCCTTAAGTGTGCTAGCCAAACATGCTCCATCAGACACCATACCGCAAGAATTCATCCTCTTGAACAAGTTAAAAGCCTCACTCTCGTTCTCATCTTGGACATAACCACCAATCATTGTGTTCCAGGACACACTATCACGATCACACATGCGTTCAAAAATCTGCCTTGCATCTTCAAGAGCTCCGCATTTCGCATACACATCTATTAACGCATTTCCTACGAACAAGTTGTTCGCTAGCTTCTTCTTGATGATAACCGAGTGAAACTGGCTGCCCAGTTTTAGATCATGCGATGCAGCACAAACGCTTAACAGGCTTGTAAAGGTATAATCGTCAATATCATAACCAGAGCATTTCATCTCCATAAACAGTTCCATAACCTTGTGGGCTTCACCGTTATGCGCATATCCCCTTATCATCGCGTTCCACAAGACGTCATTTCTCTCCTCCAAAGCTTCAAACACTTCTGCAGCAGCCTCCATTTCCTCACACTTCGAGTACATACTCACCAAAGCACTACCAACATAAATATTGGATGCAAGGCCTTGCTTAATACCCTCTGCATGAACTACCAGACCCAAATCAAGATTTCCTACAATGCCAATAGCACTCAAAACGCTTCCTAGAGTAGAACGAGTGGATCTAACACCAGATCTCCGCATACTGAGAAAGTACTCAATAGCCACCGTCTCACATCCTCGTTTCCCGTGCCCTGAAATCATTACATTCCACGCTACCACATCAGGGCTTGGCATCTCCTTAAACAACAGACGTGCCTCTTTTAGCTTCCCCAAACTGATATACGTATTTATAACAGTCACAAAAGCTAAATGGTCAAACTGATGTCCTTCATCTCTCATCCTTTCAAACACAGTGACGGCTTCCTCTGGCAAACCAGCTTTGACATAGCCAGAAAACAAACACGTCCACGAAACTGTATTGGGATCCACCAACTCATCGAAAACTCGCCGAGCGTCACCTATACGGTTACACTTGGCATACATATCAACTAGAGCACCTCCACAGTATGAGTTGCGTTCAAGTCCCATCTTTATCATACTTCCATGAACCTCCCTGCCAAAATCTATATTGGTCTCCCTGGCACAGGTTGACAAAGCAATCGAAAAAGTGAATTTATTTGGTGAAATCAGATTCTCAAACAATGATACGAAACTCTTCAAGACCTTTCCTGGTTGCCCAGCACTGGAATACATCGATAGCATCGAGTTCCACGCAGTTACATCCTTTTCAAGGGAGTCGAAGACCTTCTCAGCATAAGACACGTGTTCACACTTTGCATACAAATCGACAATGGCGTTTCCCAACCTTCCATTTGAATCGATTCCAAGTATCAAGCTCTGAGAGTGGACAGCTTTGCCGGTTTTCAAAGCAAGTTCAAGTCTTTGAGGCATTCCGTCGAACACCTTGCGGCTCTTGAATAATTTGCATTGCTCCAAACAAATTTCTGCGAGGCTGTTATATATCTGATCGTGGTTGGGGAAGACGAGTCCGCAGATTCGAGGACACAAATCCGTGGAAAAACTCAGACGACGTACCAAGGAGAAAGAATCGAAAATGGGCGACGACGGAGTCGAGAGAACTCGAAAATACATGATTTAGACTCCAATCCGATAGAAAACGAACCTCGCCGGAGGTTGAACTGAACTGAGAGTCTCGACTGCTCTTAACCATGAGAAAACGAAAGCATCCAAACGAAAAAAGTCGCCGTGAGTAAACAAAATCAAAATATCAAATATTTAGCGGTAAAGAGAATCCACCTTTTACGGGTCGACCCGAAAACCCGCCGTTGTTCAACTAGAGGTTCAATTAAGAAATTGTATGTGTCTGATTACATGGTACTAAACAGACCCGAATTAAAGTAAGAGACTCTAACTATAATAACCCGTGAAAATAGGGCCTATTATGAAAATACTGTAAAACTCAAAACTGGGTTTTGGATAATGCGTAAAACTAAAATGAAAGAAACGAGAGGTTACTCTGAAACGAACCCTCATCTTCTTCAGACATAAACAAGACGATGAACACACTTCGATCATTTCAGACAACTTTAACACCAAACTTCCATGTTCTATTCAATGCCTCAAGACATTCCATTTCCAGAAACCAATTTCTCTGTCTCTCGAAATCCGGAGATGGAACTTCGGATTCAGATTCTGATCCGGAGCCTCCAAAACCCGAAGGAGACACTCGGAGACAAGAAATGTTAGCCAGGATCGCCATGCTTCAGACATCTAAAGTCCGCTTAACGGATTTCTTGGACGAACGATCAGATTATTTAAACAAGTTTGCTGAAGAAGCCAACGCCGAGTTTGACAAGGTTGGAGAAGACGCCATGAAAGACCTTGACGAAGCAAGCTCAAGGGTTTGTATCACTTAACTTTTTTTTTGTTCATGCATAAGAATTGTTAAGTGAAGTCATAAGTTTTCAGAGATTGTGATTGTAAGAACAGAGAGATTGATAACTGATAGTATTTTTTATTTCTTGAGCAGATAATGGAGAATATTGAGAGCAAGATGCAAGCTTTTGAGGAATCTGCGGGATTGAACAGATTGGAGATAGAAGAGAATGATAATAAGTTGGCTGAGTTTGAGGAGAAAATCGTTGAAGACAGGAACGAAGGATTGTTCTTCAAGAGCTTACGTGACAAAAAGCCTGTGGATAAAGAGAAAGCCAAAGAGGAAACTGAGAGAATAGAAGAAGTTACCAAAGAAAGTGCAGGATCAAAGACAAGACGGAATATCTACCTCGGGTTGATTGGGATCGTGGCTCTCTCAATTGCTGAGTCCTTCCTTTCTTCACCGGATTGGAGAAAAGTGGCGATTCTTGGAGCAATTCTTGTCCCGCTGCTCACTCAGTTCTTCTATGAGCAGACATTGTTATCAAAAGAAGCAGATAGTGGAAAAGGAAACAACAAGGAATGAATGATAGACTCTGTAACAATCGGAAGAGATAAATATGACTTGATAACATAGAGCCAAGTGTGAAACTTCTCACTTTTTGGTTTGATGCATCAAGCTACAGTTTTTGTTTTGCATCACCGTGTATAGGATCTCTATAATGTTTTACTCGAATCATTCAAAACCAATGTGTCACCAAGATGCTTGTGAATTGTGATGTATGTATGATTCACTATACAATGCTAGTTTCATCAGGTGGTAGAGATCAAATACAGTGTCAAACTAAACCTTATGAAGTTATACAGCAATATGCAACAAACAGTATTGAGCGTTCCTTCAATGTTCATCACATTAGTGATTCACGACAGCTGAAACAAGTATGTTCCAGGTGACAACAGTTGGGGAAATGCCATGGTTTAGAGCATCATCAAAGAATTCGATAGCATAAGACACTCTTCTGCACATACACAACCCTTTCAGTATAATGTTGTATGATATTATATCAGGCTGCAACCCAATCTTGTACATGTAACCCCAAATCACTGTCGCTCTGTTGATGTCTCCAACTTTGCAGAATCCATCCATCAAGGTGTTGTAAGTAACAAGATTCGCAACGCAATTCCGATGCTCCATACTCGCCACGGCGTTCACTGCATCGTCAAGTTTCCCAACAGAGCACAGGCCGTGAATTAGAATGTTATGCATCCTCACATCGGGTTCTAGACCTGACTGAAGAGATTGGTGCCACAATGCATGGGCCAATTCAGTCTTCCGATCTTTACAAAGACCGTCCAGAAGTGAGCTATAAGTTCTCAGATCTGGTTTCAACCCGTTTTCAAGCATTTCTTTCACAAAAGCTGATGCTTCTCCAAACTTCCCTGCTTTACACAAACCGTCGATAAGAATGTTGTAGGAAACAACAGTCGGTCCACAACCGTTCTTCCCCATCTCTCTCAGGAAAAAGGAGGCATCACCGAGTCTCGAGTCTCGGATTAAACCACCAATCAATGCATTACAGACATGAGAATTCAGCTCCACGCCAAGCTTACTAATCTCTTTTACCAAATCTGATGCTTCTTCTAGTCTTCTCTCTTTGCACAAACGGTCTATAACTGACGAGTATGCATAAACATCCACACGCCCGCCTTTGCTCTGAACCTCTCTTATCACCTCCAAGGCTTTATTCACGTGACCATTCACGCATAACCCATGAATAAAAACACCGTAAGTTCTGTTATCAGCTGCGTAGCCTTTCGCAGGCATAAGCCTCCAAATCATTGTTGCTTCATCGATCTTCCCATACTCCAACAGCCCTTTGATCAAAATGTTATAGCTCACTACGTTTACTGAATTCTTCTCCTCCATGATTCTCCACAACTCCAAACCCTTCTTAGTTTTCCCACAACGGCAAAACCCATCAAGCATAGTATTGTATGTAACCACATCAACAAAGACCTTACTTTCAACCAACTCTTTAAACACACTCTCAGCCTGATCAACACTCCCCACACCGCACAACGCATGAATCAAACTGCTATACGTAAACAAATCTATTTCTCGCTCGTTTTGTTTCATTCTCTCCCATATCTTCAAGCAATCATCTATCCTTCCGCATTTGCTCAAACCACTGATCATGATGTTGTGAGTCTTAACATTCGGATAAACAGACGAGTCCTCCAACAATCTCTCCCACAGTTCCGTAGCCTTGTTGTGATCTCTCTTCTTAAGAGATCCATCAATTAAGATATTGTAGCAGGTAACATCAGGTGCCACTCCTCTCTCAGTCATTTCGTCGAACACTTTCAATGCATCTTCCAAGTTTCCACCTTTCGCAAGATCGTTGATCACAGTGCTGTAGCTATACACATCCGGCTTCAAACCCTCTTTCCACATCCAATCGAGAAGCTCTTTCGCTTTCTCAAACTGCTTCTTCTTACACGCCATCTTAATCAAAACGTTATACGTCTGCAGATTTGGCGCCAAGCCAACAGTTGCGATGTAGGCGAACAAGGACTCGACTTTATCCCATTGCTCCGCCTCCACGAACGCACTGAGTAGAGAGTTATACGATCGAATCCCAGGCTCGCACCCGAAAACCTCTCGCATTCGCCGGAAAACATCTAGAGCTCGATCGGGCATGGAGTTTTTCCCGTAGGTTTTGATGACCGATAACGCGACGTCTTCGTCGCACTTGCATTCCTGTGAGCGAATGAGCTCGACGACCTGACCCACGTGGGTAACCATCCGCGCCTCCGCGAGTCGTCGGAGGATGTGGTGGAAGACGACGGCGGAGTGTGCATATCCTGGATGGCGAGTCGCCGAATCGAATAGAGCAAACGCCTTACGCAGGTTCTTCTCCGATTTCAAGAGCTTGAGGACGTGTTTCGGAGACAGCGATTTTGGGAAAACGACCATGGGAGGAGAGTTTTCGGTGACCGTTGGATCTTTATTTCTCCGGCATGTTTTGGTTTCTAGCTTTTTTATTAATTTACTCTTCAGCTTCACTATACTTGATTTATCAATTTTGTCACCGAAACCAAACTCGAATTCCAAGTATTCGATTTAGTTTTTAATCCAATGTATCTTGTTCCTGATTGTACCATAACTCAAACTTATACTATAATAATAATACACCATTTCAGCAAATAAATAACCATAGCACATGAATTATTTGTTTAGAAAATATATTATTTGGCTGAGTTTAGAACCGGTTTATGAATGTCCTTCCACTTAACCTTAACATTTGAAAGTAAACCAATTACACCCAGAGTAAACCCAAATAAAACAAAACGACAAAAGAGAAAACAAAGGTTCATAGAGCTAAACCCCTAAACGAACCATCCCGAATTCCCCAATGAACAATTTTGATCAATACAGCCTCATAACACTCCTCGCTATAGAATGCCCGTGACTATTCGCCCACCCGCCGCCACCACCCCCACCGGCTCCTCCTCCTCCTCCACCGCCAGCTCCAACGCTCATCCTCCGGCTACCTTGCATCGGTGCCAAGTAAAATTTCAACATTCCATTTTCCCCATTCTTAGGCGAATACCTTAAACTCTTATTCTTCCCCACTCCGTTGACTTTCCTCGCCGAACCGGAGCTCCGCCAGCTCACATTGCTGTTACTCCTCACCATACTCGGTCCTCCTCCGTTCCTCAGCTCCGGCCACGACTCCGACAACGATCTCTCCACCATCCCGCTGTTTAATCTCCTATACCTCTCCTCTTCCTCCTCCTCTTCCTCGTATTTATTCACACTCTTCCTGTAAATCAGCCCTAAGATGCTCCATTTCCCCCACCGTCTCGACTTCTTGTTGTTATCGTTACTATTCCCTTTCCTCTCGCCGATCATCACCGCCGGTTCCCGGAAAAATCCGTTATCAGTCGGCTCCACGGTGTAATTGTTCTCCCTCATTGAACCTGAGTAGGCATCTATTGATACAGCCGACGAGTTCGACACTGACAGCTTCGGCTCGTCTATATCCGCCACAACCGCCGCAGCGGTTTTCCTTATTGAGCTAGACCTGTCAAGGCTCTTCCGCCTCCGGGACGATGAGTCAGTATAATAGTCTCGGGTTTGAATTGACCCGCCCGGGATGATAACCGGGTCGGACACATTGTTTGCTAAATTAGCCACTTGTGGTGCCGGTGGTTCTTCCACCGGAATCTGCATATCCGATCGGGTTACGTGACGGTGCACCGGAGCATCCTCCACAACCGACAGCATTGACGGCGGCGGAGGAGGTCTCGCCGCCGGAGGGAACGCTGTCCGTCCGATGAGGGATCCGTCCCATGAAGCTCGCGGCTCGTCGAACGAGTAGCGAGGATCGTCAAGCGAGATCCTACCGATGTCGACGGAGAATCTTCCGGCGTCCAGAGAGAATCTCCCGGCGTCGAGCGAGAATCTAGGGTCGGTATCACACGATCTCCGGCCGAATCCGTAGTCAGCGATCTCCGATTGCGTATCGCGGAGCTGTCTCCCTATCGGTTTCTCCACCGGTAACCTGGCGGATCCTGGCCGATGGTCGCCGCCGTTTCGCCGCTTCTTCAGCTTCTGATTCTGCCTCCATTTCTGAAGTTTCTTGCTGAAAACCGACGCCGCCGACCAGAAACTCCGTCGCACCGATGGCTTCTTCGTTTGGGAATCGAGATCTATGTAATCCTTCATCGGCTTCAATTCCTCTCCGGTTAAAGCTTTCTCCGGGATTTCAACTTCCTCCGCTACCTCCTCCCTCTCTTCAACAATTTCGCCGCTTTTTTCCCCAATTACTTCGCCGGAATCATCCAGAATCTCGAAATCGCCAGCTTCGACGTAGTCCTCTTCAAATTCGCCGTCGCTTTCAGCTTCTCCTTCATCGTTAACCTCTAGAACAGGCTCCCTGACGCTAGATTTCCTAGGCTCGACCTCAATTTCACCGCCGGAGACAGTGGTGGGAAGGTTTCGTTGCTCGTCCTGGCTAAACAAGTTCCAGAGAGAGCTCCGAAGTCTGACGTCACAAGACCTACGCTGTGGCTCAAATACGCCGGAGAATGCATCGTTGTTCTTCGACGCCGAGAACGATTTCGTACGACGGAGCTCCGGGAAGAATCCCGGTTTAACGCGGCCGTTGCCGCTGGCATTTCCACCGCCTCCGTTGTTCGCGGAAGGCTTGAAGAGAGCTTTGAGAGACGCTGCGGAGATGGTGGGAGGTTTCCGGGAGGAAGAGGAAGACGAGGCACCGCCGTTGTTGGTCTGATCTAAGACTGAGAGGCGTTCACAGAGACAAGAGGGGCAGAAACCGGTGAATCTCTCCTCTGGGTGACGGTCGCAGGAGGTTGAGAGACGGTGTGGCTGCGGAGGTTGTGGAGGCGGAGCTAGAGCTGCAGTGGCAGCGGCGGAGACTGGGTCGGTAGCTGGATTCATGACGGGAAATGGTAGTAAATCCTTTCTTTGCTGCTGCTCAGAGTATCGTCATCACTGTCTCTCTGCTTATAGAGAGAGAGAGAGAGAAAGAGAGAGAGACAACACGGAGGAAACTGTTTAGAGAGACGAGAGAGATTGGTAGTGTTGTTTCTGAAACTTCGTTTGGTTCCAACGGTAATTGAAAAAGAAAGGAGTTGAAGAGAAACGAAAACAAAAAATTAAAAAATAAATAAAATTGTTCCGGGAAAATAAGGTTTTAGTATTTGTTTTTGGTGTGGTTATCTAGGTTTTTCATGTTAAATCAAAAGATCAAATTGGATTTTGTAGATCGGTAAGATACTTTGCCCAGCTTTATTTCAGTATAAGCCAAATCTTATTTTTTTAATTCTCGTTAAGAAAACATTTTAAACCTTTACACTTTGATTTTGCTTTTTTTTTTTTTTTGGGGGTTTGGCAATTACATGTTTGTTAACATGCCTAATTTATGTTGTTACAGTTCTACTGTGGAGGTAGCCATTATCAAACGTTTAAATTGGCTCTATCCTCTATGTGTCTTCCGATTTTGTCTTGTGTAATTATAAACCCGTAACTTGTTGGGTCGGTGGCAAAGTGGATTATTTTCCTGCTTTGTCAAAAGCGATTTTAACTAAAAAAATTAAAATTTTCACACTGCTTTTTGACAAAATTTCAAAAGCAATACATAATTCAGTTCAAACTAAACCAATTGATTTTGCTGTCTAGGAAAAAACATAATTCGATGTCATCTTAAAAATGATGATGTGTAAAGAGGTGAATATTGTTTATCTCTGTCTAAAAATTCGTAATAAAACTGTTTTAAAATTATTTTGCGATTTAAATAACTAATTATTTTAGATATCTCATATCTGACAGTGCTGTTTCTCTACAGTTCTACCATAATGTCAATTATCGCATCAATCATAGCAACTGCGTCAAGTCGTCAACTATGAAAATTACTGCCTTAACCACAGTAACAAATGTAGAAACTTAACATCAAGCAGTAGCACTATACTCCTAACAATTACTGTATTTTAAAAATAAAAAGAAAATCAATAAAAGGAGTACTTTGGAATTTTAAAGATTCGGACCATACGAGCGGAAAAAAAAAAGAAAAGAAAAAGCAAATCACGCCATCACACTCCTTATTTCTTGTCTCTATGACACTCTCTCCTTTCGCTTTCTCTCTTCTTCCTTTTTCTTTTTCTATCTCAATCTCTTTTTCTTTTCTTTCTATTTATACATTTTTCCGAAATAATGTTTCTCGATATTCGAACACTACAAGACTCTCGAATAGTTGAAAATTAAGACGAATTAATCATAGTAATAAACTAAAAATTAACACCTATCTTTGAAAGAAGAAGAAGACAAGTCTTATCATCAATCTATCTCAAGAAACAAAAAAAAACTTTGGTTTTATCATATTTTCCAATTCAAGAATTAAAAATGTGTGTTATTAAGTAAGTCTCTTAACATTAACAAACAAAAAAAACGTATAAGTAAGACTAATTTTTTTTGGATGGGGCTGTATTTAGTTTTCTAAAATTCGAGTAGAGTGTCAAAATATTCGAGAATATATGAATTAGTTATCGTTTTCAAAGACTGTATTATTTGTATGCTTTCTGCGATGCATTCTATTAACTTTAACTTTTTCCTTTATCTGATCAGATTTGTCTTGGCTTTTCTTTTTGTTTCTTTTCTTTTCTGTGTTTTCTTCACAGAACAAAAATCTATAGTTTTGTGGATGCATATAATAACGTGTGTATATATACTTAAAAAAAAATGTTTTGGAACTATTTTCTGTCCTGGTAGTACGGTCTCTAATGTCTCTAGCATGGGAAGCAAATCTTGTCCTGCCTCTATATTCCACAAACGGTGAAAACAATGGCGTTTAAACGTATAAAATTTACTATACCATCGTTTAATTTTAGGCTAATAGTTTGGTTATGATCGTTGATATTTTTCTTTTCTTTTGCTAAAATTATGAATGATCGTCAATGTTTAAGCAAGTAATCCTTCAAACTTTAAATAGTATAGCAGATTGAGGTATAAACGTGTAGTATAAGGATGTGCACTGTGCACATGTGTATCTCAGTATATGTATGTATTCCTGGACGTGTGGGTAAGAATCTTTCAATAGTTCCTACGTATAAATTCATCATTTGTTCGTAGTCGTAGCATTTAGTTTTCTTTTGGTTTAAATAATGATTTAAGGGTCGTGTGCGTGTGTGTGTGACGCACTGCCGCACATAGTTGCCTCGTATCCCATTAAACCTCACGCAATCAATGCCAATAAATGCGGCTGTTTTTTAACACTTCAATTATTACCTCACCCTTTCACCTTGCGTTGGAGTAGTTGTATCTCTTCTTTTTATCCATTTGTAATTGTACCCTCTTTGTTTTCCTACTGTATATACTTACGGGCTGTTATAGTATATGTTTGGTAAATGATAATTATTATTTTGTATAGTCAAACTTGCAAGGCAAAATTATACTCCAAACTTGTAATATTATTTGGTAGAATCCATTTTTTTTTAAAACTACTCATAATGAATTTATGCCCATTATATATGTTAGACATTTCAACCGCTAACAGCAATAGTGCACTATATATGTAAAACATAATTATTATTTCACGGGTATATAGTATATTATCTTTGGACTATGTCATTTAATCATGAATTTTAAAATAATGATTAAGATTTTCCTTTCTTTTTATGGTTATGAAAAAACGAAGAAAAACATGGATTTTTTTTTTCAATGTGTATTATAAATTTATAATCTTGTTTTTATTGGTTTTTGACATTATATTTAAACATTTACTAGACGTATTTTCAATAATTAATCGGTAGGCCTGAATCTGCTAAAATTGTGTATATGGAACACACTGGATCAAAGGTAAAGGAGGAAAAGAAAGGGAAGACGGAAATGTAATCATTACAAGAGAAATAATGAGTTGGAAAAGGACAATCAAAATATGAACTTTTTTGGCCCACAACATTCGACAACTCACAGAAATCAAAGGCTTTTTGGTTTTCAAGAAAAAACAACCAACTTAATTTTCACCTTTTTTTATTTTTAAATCGCAAAAGATTTATTATTTTACATAAAAAGCCTCTATTTTGGACCCAACATGCTTCTGTATGTCATTCTATTCACATTTATGAAAGTCTCTTAGTTCCTTTCTTACTCAGATACTCTAACTAATAAGTGTCCATGTATTTTACAATGTACTCATCTGTATATGGCACGTACTATTAATGACGTCACATATGATATATATACGGTACACGTCAAACTAGAGCAATTAATTTTTTAAGAATATGAAAATTATATGAAACTAGATTAAGGCCCGCGTATACGCGGTATATTTTAAGATTTTATAATAAAAGCATGGAAAATATTAAACAAAATTTGATCATTTTTAAACATAAACAAAATAATATTGAAAACCCGATAAAAATATTTAAATAAAATAAGATTGGTAATACTTTTACATTTTTATTGTAATTATTTTTCTTTTGAATTTATGATATGACAAAATGAATTAATTTGTTTTACTATTATTTTTATCCAATACAGAAAGACTTACACATGTCTAAATCTGATCAATTGATTAATTAATCAAACTTTTATTATTCCATTCAAGAGATTTTAATTGATGAAATATTTATTTCAATTTTTTTACCTAACAAACTATTTAAAATTAGAATATCAATTATAATTTTTTAATATTAGTTAATTGCTTGATAATTATTTTGTTAGTTTTTTATTTATATGTTTTCTTTCTCAATTTTTTTTTGCCTCGGACCATTATAAATACTATATATTGGTATTTTTCCTTTTCGAAATGGATTTTTTTTCCTTTTCTTAATAGATGTAACAAAAGAATTTAAATTATTTGTTTCCTGTTTTTTTATTACTTTTAATGGATATTATTTTTTTTCATTTTAATTATTTGTTATCTGTTTTTCTAATTTTTAGTTAGTCTTATACATATTAATTTTTTTATTTTTTATTCCATGACACATGTTACGATCTTCATACTTCGAGAATTTTTTTTTTCTAAAACAGATGTCGCAATTTTGTCAGTTATAAAAATCCTATGTATCGCAAAACTTTCAAAAACATGATTTTTAAATTGGAGAAATATAATCAAAGGGATTTGATGAATTTGTTTTGATGAATTTATGATTGAGAAATCTTGACTCTCTTTTATAGGGTTCAAGTAACCTATTACATGCAGTTATAGGAAATTTAGTTTACATAACATATTCCATGTACAAATAGGATTTTATTTATTACATTATTTTGATTTTATTATTTGTTTGGATAATATTAATTTGATGAATGGAAACCTTTCTCTATTAGGATATGACAAATATATTTTTATTTCTTTTAACTGTAATGGATTAATTTTTTAAACAATTTCCTTTATCTAAATTTTATTATTATTTTTTTTTCTTTTTTTTTTTTCTCTAAGACATGTGTCACGATCTTAACGGACGTAACATTAAAAGTGACACATGTCGCGATCTTATAAATTATAAAAATCCTATGTGTCGCAACCACGTCGTGCGCATCCAACTTTATATAATAAAAAAATTGATGAATGGGAAACCTTTTTCTGTTTGGATATAACAAATATTATTTTTTCCTTTTTGATATAATATATTAAATTAAATTTCGTTTTTTTAATTAACATTTTTCTGGAATTTTTTTTTTTAATTCTCCTTTTTTCCTAAGACACATGTCACGATCTTAACAGACATAAACTTAAAAGTGACACATGTCGCGATCCTGAATTTTATAAAAATCCTACGTGTCGCAACCACGTCGCGCATCCAGCTTTATATAATAAGATATATAATCACTGTAATTAAGAGATCTGTGACTCTATCAGTGTAATTAAGAGATCTGTGACTCATTTAGAAGTTATCTTGGTACTCAAACCGTGATACATCAAAACTCCCAAGTATAAACGACTCAAAATCCCTATCAAGTTTCAAGTATGACTTTGTGCAAGAATTAGAATTATCATTAGTTTTTAATATTTGTGTTTCTTGACATTTGTATTTTAAAACATGTTTGCTGGAATTTTTTGCTTTATTTTATTTATTGGAGTAAGGAATCCCAATAAAGGAGGGAAACTCTTTTTTTTTTGGTTTTTTGCATGTTACTAAAGTAAGACAAGAAAAGCATCCAAAACAGGACAAATTTCTAGGCTTTGCTTTATTACAAAGTTTTTGTGAACTAAAAGTATTTTCTTATATGATTAGGTCTTAGATAATTGTAGTTTAGCTTGTTAGTAACCATTAACCAACGATTTATAACTGTTTTTTTTTGTCGAACTACTTGATAAGCTAAGAACAGAATTTATACAACATTTAATTTCTAAAGATATAAATTTGAATCTGGTCATGCTTTCAGTTCTCTCCCTCAACGCGTATATTTGAAGTATGAATATAAAACGTATAGATATGGTTCGATCATAAAACGTGTCTACAAACTATATGCCATGAAAATCAGCAGCTGTCTAGCTAGTAGTCCTCAAACGAAGAGAGATAGAAAAGGCAAAGTTGAAAAACTGAAAAGAACATCTAAATTCTCAACATTAGTTTGGTGGATCCAGTTTTTGTAGCTGACAGATTCGATTTCGATCTACAATAACAAATTTAGTTAACAAAAAAGCTGTATATAGTGTATGTTCAAATAACAAATTTTTCTAAAGCTTTAGAATCTGAAATAATTGTGAATAGCAAAGCAGTCAATGTTGACAAAATCGGAAGACCAACAAATGATTCATTATTATTCAATTTGTAAAATGAAATAACTGTACAATGTTTTCAAGTTAAAAAAAAACATTTTACTACTGTTTTGAACTAATCGGAGACAAATTATCTATCACTTGTGTTCTATTTTTGTGCTCAAGCATCATCTTGGCAACAACTTCATTAATTTTCTGAGACATTTCTGGAATCATCAAAGCTGTTTCATCAAACAACTGAGTTCTGAGTTCGTCTGAGACTCGATCTCGGGGAGAAGCTGTAGACAATTCCGACATCGACTGGACGAAAACAGAAGCAGCAGCGCTCAAACCATGCAATGCTTGACGACAACAAGTTATTCTCTCTTGAAGTGAATCGTCTGCAAGTGTATCGTGGAATACTTCTGAAGAGGTCTTCTCCTGTGACAGTGAAATTTTATGCATCTTTAAGTTAACTTTAAGCTTAAAGATATGTAGTTGTGTGTGCATAAGCCTGTGTACACATGTGAGTAGATATATTAAAATATGACTTGGTGAAACCTGTTCAGGGTGTTCGTCTGAGCTCTGTGAAGATTGATCTTTAAACGTATCAAGAGGGAGATGTTCTTGGATCGACCTCAAAGTCTTGTACCCTGATTTATGGGAGGGTGTACGCAGAAACTGTTTGGTTCCACTTCCACTGATGTAGTCCCTTCTAAGAACAAACTGAGTAGAGTATCTTCTTTGCTGCGATGTTTTCTCGGCCTCCACCTATGGATAAAGTAAAACATTTTTGGCCATAAAGATCTCTCTCTCTGGTAACTAAAACATGTCAGAAGCAATAGTGACGAGAACTCTCACCTTGTCTATCATTGACAAACTGTTATCAAACAGCTTGAGCATGTCCTCCTGCTCAACAGAGCTTTTGGTGCAGAGATTTTCTGGTTTCTGTTGTTTAATGGAAGATGTTTGGATGTTTGGAGAATTTATAAGATCAAAACACACGTTGTAGATAGTGTTCCAGCGTGTTTCCTTCCTATGGCTGTTGAGAACCAAAAATAAAAACAAATCAATGTGGTTTTCCTAAAAGCAGGGAGAGAGGTAGAGAGAAGAATGATGCTGTAACGACCAGAGACAAACTAGAGCTTCTTACCTATGAGCATCTCCTCGAAGCACTGAAGTTTCAGTGTCGCTGGAGCTTTTGGACAGGCTTCCATGGTTTGACTGTTCGGTTCTTGAATCTTGTTTTGGAGTTTGGCATTCAAGATTCACAGAAGAGCATTCTTCAGCAGAGCCAACTGCATTCACTAGAACTTCATCTTCATGTTTCTGTTGTGGAGGGAGGCAATAACGACACATAATATGAGAAGAACTGGAATCGTTTAGCTGAATACTTGTATCTAAAAAGGTAAGTGGCTTTTTGGGTTTATACCTGGTTTGAAATGGAATCCTTACAAGTGGTAGCAATACCATGTGTTTCGGCTTTAGCTTGAGCCCACTTAGGAAGCCGAGAAACGCTGAACTTAAATGAAGATGTCCATGGGGAGCGTTGCTGCATCTGATCTGCGTTCTCTTCAACTAGCTTACATTTTGCAGAATATGATGCATCGTTTGGATTGTCTTCCTCCAAATCAACCACAATTTGCATAAACTTTGCGGGTTGTTGGGCCACCGTTTCAGGAACTAACCTACCATCTTCATTTACTGCCCGTATCATACGAGTAACCATTCGCAAAGGCAATTTCCATACAAAAATACAGCCGTCACCTGCAACCTGTTAATAAACACCAAAGGAAATTTGATCGCAGTTGTTAATTGTCATTCGACGCATACCAAAATAGATCCAGGCTTTTAACCATAGAAAGCTCTCTTACGGTTCAATAGAAATGAGACATTGCTCTTGGCTTCATCCAAAAGCTTAAGGTTATTACACTCGTAAGTAACGGGAAACTACAATTTAGAAACTTACTGAAATGATATGTTTGCAGTCAGGTAGGAAAATAACACCAGTCACAGTTTCACTGTGTCCTGTGGCCTGCGCAACCAACTCTCCTGTGACAAAGTCCAGAAAGCAGATTGTCCTGTTGGAGTAAGAGCATGCCAAGTAGCTGCAACTTGGATCCAAAATGACCTGTGAAAGAGATTTTACTGTCAGCAGTAGAAACATCAATAAATGTTGAAGCCTTGTGAAACTGTTTGTTTGATGCACCTTTACGGGATCGCCATGGTCTCTGTCTAGCTTGAATGATCTGACAAGTTTTCCACTTTCAGTGTCGAATATGTTTATCTTCTTATCCTGCACTCATGAAATAAGACATCAGACGATTTTTTAATCAGATGCTAGATGTATGGTTAATTGACTGAATGTGCTCGAATCATCAAAAGGTAGCAATACCTGTCCCACTGTGACAACAAGTCCTGATGTTGGATCTACAGCCATATCGTAGATTGTTCCTTGTGAGAGAGTTTGAGGATGAGATGGTGAAAGACGCACACTACTTGCTTTTCTGACAACGTCAAAAAACTGCAACCTGCAACAATATCCACAATTATGTCATAAATTTCTTTAAAAGAAATATGTTGCAGAATTAGAAAATTACCTATCTGCACCAGAAGTTAAAATTTTCCGGCCATTACATGCGAATTTAACAGAAGTTATAGCAGCTGAACCACAAACACTCCCAACAGGATCAAAGTTCCTGAAAATAAGAACATATAAGTTTGTATGGCCTTTCAAGGACACCAAAAAGACAATAAAGCATCTGTTGTTTTTACACCTTTTGACATCATAAATGTGGATCGCTCGGCCCTTTCCACCAGACGTAAGCAAGAAATCGCTGCTTATGTCATTTTCAGAATCAACATCTTTCAGTCCAGGAAAGCTGAAGCTCAATGACTGAATTTCTGCATCATGAGCATCCTGCAAATGATCATCAATAAGAGGGTTCTGAATTTCATGTCTGGACACCTGCCACTGAAGACACATTGCCAATTATAATTTGAGCAAGTGTGACTGCTATTACGGTAAAGCATGTATATTCTGATTCTTGTAGATCATATATGTGAAGGTTCCCTCCACAGTCACCAGCTGCTAAGTACTTTCCATCTTCACTTACTGCCAGTGCTCGGAAACCAAATGTGGTACCACATGTCTCAACGAGATCACGTTCAAAAATTCCAGCACTAGCTGCATTTTAAGGACATGATTAGTGAAAATGACTACTCGAACTAGTTAAACAAACTATCACCTTAAATAAAAATTACTAGATCATCTTTACCAATATGTTTCAAATTCTGAGCATATGTGATAATTACCTAGATGCATAGTCCCATGCGTTTCAGATTCTGAGGAATTGCTTCCATTGGCATCCAATGGATCCAGTTGGAGAGCAAGATCCCACAACCTTATGGTTCCATCTTCAGAACACGTAGTGAAGGAAACCCCTTCACAGCAACCCCTAGCTACACATGCAGCCGTTGGACTGTGCATATTTCCACAAGAGAGATTTTTTATATCCCAAATGCAGGCAGAATGTGATATCATCATAGAGCACCTAGTAGGCTGGAACAAGGAAGAAAAGTTTCATCATATGCAGGAAGATGGTGCTCAATCAAAGCTTTAACAAGAAACTGCAGAAGTAGAATTTGCGCCAGAAAGAACTTCAACGTTAACTAACTTATCTGAGGAAAATACTGAAATGAGTTTGCAATTACCTTGTTCACATCATTCACATTCCAAACATAGAGACTACGATCCTCATAGATGACAACTGCGAAGCCAAAATTCTATCTTTAGTCAAAAGGAAGATCGGTAAAAGCATCATACTGCTATTATGAGATTCTTCTACACTAACCGAGCTTATCTGTGGTAGAAAACTGGCAAGCAACTGCGTCTGGAAAGATAGCAGGCTGAGATTCTATATTTTCAACTTCTGCTGAATGAGAATGGTTGTCATTATCGCTTTTTCTAGCATCTGAAAAGTGTATTGTGCCAGCATATTCTAAAGTTTCAGGAGTAAATAGTTGGATCTCTCCCTTGCTGCAAGCGCAGGCTATCAGTCGACTGGATGCACATAGAGCAAAACATTTTTCAACCTGACAGTTCATCGCAAGCCAATGATAGAGCAAGATAGAGTCAATGCTTCTGGACTATGGTAAATAAATTGTTATGCATATCTAAATGCTAGTGTGCTTGATGGTCATAAATTAACAACGGAAAAAATGAAATGAAACGATTGTACCTTCAGATCCACTGACTTCTTGATTAACATCCCATAACTCATGAGCAGCAGAATACCTAAGCAACAATTAACTTATTTCGCATGAGTGTTCCAAAACTCATATTAATAATTGCAACTGTGTGGAGTGAATACCTGCATCTGTAAGAGCATATATCGACATAACTTCATCAGCTCGTTCGTCACTTCCACTAGAGTTCACTCTGATGGCTGATACCACTGATACAAATGAGTTTCCTTTTTGAAACCCACTCTCAGTTGGCTTCCCATGAAGTGCAAGAGATCCTACTTTACTTGACCGGGTCCTCTGAAAAGAACTCATTGTCCAAAACTTCAAGTGCTTGTTCCCGGAAGTGACAACGAATTTTCCATTGGATGAGAATGTCACAGAGGTGATGTCAGAGCAATTAGAACTCGCTTTGACCTTCGCCACCAAGATGCTTCTTCGCCAGTCCCAGAGATATATGTATGCTCCAACACTCACCAGATATTCCCCTAAGTCCAAAGTAAAGCAAAAATCAACAACTAATCAACCAAGAAAACAGAATGGCTAAAAAGACCCTTAAAACACACAAAGGAACAAAAACTAACCATTTGGTGAAAAGGAAAGACATTGAGCTCCATAAAGGTGACCTTTCAGCTCCGCCACAAGTCCCAAAGTCTCACAATCCCAAATCAAGACTGCAGAGAGATTCGGAGACTGAGAAAAAAACCAAATCAAACAACAAACACCAATCATGACATGATATATATCACATTCTATGTAAATTAAAAAATCCGTTAAAAGATGAGTATCTCAATAAAGACAGGTCAAAAACAGCAAATGCGATCACTTATCATACATACCTCTCCAGCAGCTACGAACCGCCCATTCTGCGAAACGGCCACGCAGCTCAAAGGCTTAGGCATCCGGTGAGATACAACAAGGTGCGACTGAGAGGACGAATCAACATCATAGACCACCGCAACACATCCCGCCAAGTAAGCGCATTTCGATGTGCAGGTGACCGACGACAACCCATTGGCGTTCTTTGTGGTCAAACCGATGATCTCTTGCAGAATCAGCTGGAAGAAATAAGATGATAGAAAAATCCATTGATTGGTATTCAAATAACTGTTCTTCACAATACATTTGCCGCGAGATTTGGTGAATTAGTGATTGATAATTCGTACCTTCGTGGATGAACAAGGCTTCTTTAATTTCTGGCCCAGCTTCATTCTGGTTAAGCAAAAACCCCTAAATTTCTGATGAATTGAGTATCGGAAGACGACGAGAAACCCTAGAGAGTGATTCTCGGGATTCTCAGAGTGACGGGATTGTCGTTACTGTATAGGAGGGAAACGAATTCCACACGATTGGTTTTTTAAAAATTAAAAATTCGTCCGTTATTAATTAGTGCTTAATTTCAAATCCAATTTTTAGTTGGTTGCTAAACAAAGCCCGCTATAATGTTGATGGGCCTTTATGAGGCCCAAATTTGGTTCTGATTTGTTTATTATTTCCATTTTCTTCAACAACAAATGTTGTTGCGATATTTATCTGGTGAGGTTTCGTCTTCTAAAATCTTCTCGTTGTACCCAGAAGAAAGCTCGAGATCAATAATCAATCGGAGAAAGATCTTCTAGAAATCGAGAGATGAATTTCAGAAGCTTTGAGGAGTTCTGGCCTTTCTACGTGATGCAACACTCGAAACCATCGACGAGGCGATGGCACTTCATGGGAATAATCGCGAGCATCGCGTGTTTGATGTGTTCGATTGTGATCAGCAAGTGGTTCGTGGCTCTGGTGCCTCTGTTTGGGTACGGGTTCGCGTGGTACAGCCACTTCTTCGTGGAAGGGAATATCCCGGCGAGCTTTGGGCATCCCGTTTGGTCTTTCCTCTGCGATCTCAAGATGTTTAGTTTGATGCTCACAGGAAGCATGGAGAGAGAGATGAAGAGACTTGGTAAGAGGCCATTGTTGCAGCTCTCCTGAGTAGTGTACATTGTTTATGTCTATAGGAATTTATCTCAATTGGGAGCGTCTTTTGCGATCCCTTATTACTTGACATTTCGTTCTTTGTTTGGATTTATACAGACTTTATAAACATTATGGCTTCACTGTTTGCTAAAGATTCTCAATTCTCGTTTCGAAAAACTGGACATGAACAACAGAACAGAAATTCTTAATGGTCACTAGCTACATAATCAAAATGTCACAGAAACATCCTATCATTTAAAATAATTCGTCATAGATATGTATTGCGTACCATAAATCTTGTATCTTCAGAGTTCAAAAGAGTACTTTGTAGTAATGCTTAAACTTTATAAACTCAGAGAAAGATGATCTAAAATTTTTAACAAGTAAAAAGACAGATGATCTAATACTAAAGTCGAGTTCCAGACTTTAAACAGATACAGAACCTCAAAATTCTAGTACGATGTTGTCACTGGACGAGCTATTTAAGGAGATACATATAGAGCTCCGGTACAGTACCTAACATCATAAGTCTGTATTACGGGAAAAGGAAGGGAGGGGCACGGCTTCTTGAGGCCGTAGTATCACGAGCAGACCGAACATCCCGAGCATCGGGAGGACAAGCAGCCACTTGAGAAGCTTGTAATAATACATATGGAATGTTACAGAGAATTCGTCTGAGAAATGGAGTCCATTCTTGTCCACCATCTCCACCATCACTGTCCCTGTTGTTCTCACCCCAACGGTTGGTAGTTTAATTCGGTATTTCCCCGGTTTGTCATAGATCTGCCTCTGCACTATCCTCCTATCTCCCTGGTAATTGCCTGGCACCAACAGCGTCGTCTGAACATTTGTAAAACCGTTGTACGTTAGTTTCAAGGGATCAACAGCAAGAAGCCATTGCTATTAATCATCTACTGAGGTTTGAGGGACTTACTGTGACGTTGTAGGGTGCTTGTGAACCAGATGGGTATCTGTTTTTATCAACGATCTCGATCTCAGCCCAGAAGTGTTTGCCTTCCTCATCGCGGAAACCTCTGGTTGACTGTGTGACAAAAACGCCTTCACGATCGTAACGGTATGCCTTATTGTTCCTCCCTTGATCACTCGATCTCCAAGCCTGAAGAATCAGTAATCTTACACATTAGAAAGAAAGAAAAAGAAACAGTGAAGATGTTGAGGAAAACCATCTTAAAACAGTGTTGGGGGTTGAACTTGCCTTGAGGGGATGGTGAGGAGAAGGAGTAGAAAAGCAAAAGACGTTTCCATTCATAGTTGAGACAACGAGATCAAGATCATCTCCACCGTCAACATTATCAGCCAAGACCATGCTGTATCTGTATACACGAAACATCTTGGCGAATAAATCCACTGGAAACGCGAAACTACTATAGTATTAATGTGCCGCGAGGAAGCAGGTGACTTACGAAGTTTCACCAATATCAACAACGTCAGCGCACGAGGTGGGTCCATCTATGAGATACAGGTAACCGTCGAAGGATGTGGTAACAATGGTGAGTCCCTTCTTTTTCTCACCTCGCTTGTTCAGATCAACCAGAAGAACCTGGTTCATCACTCTTCCATGAGTTCTGTACGGGTAAGGACGGACAATTGAACCATCCTTGCCACTAAGAACATAAATGCTTCCTGATGTTGTAGGCACCACAACATCTGTATGCCCATCACCATCAACATCGCCTATTGAAGGACCCTGAAAGAGAAGACCATGAAAGCTCCTATGCATTATGATCAACTGATAGATTCGTGTTGATTCTTCTACAACAAGTTCATTTATAAGACAAGTTCCGCACTAGCTGAGAATGAACGGAGGTCACTGTTTACCTGGGGAATAAGACTCTTTAGATGTGTTTCCCATATTTCCACTCCTTGGGTGGTCCATGCTGCTACATTTCCATGCGTATCCGTTGTTACGAGTTCAATCTTTCCATCGTCATTTATATCAGCTGCAACCACTGCCCCTTGAATTTCAGCCATTTCAAGTGGGAATTTCTCTCTGATGTTTCCTGCAAAAAGACAACAATCTTAGAATCCAAATCCACACCAAACTTGCAAAGGAAACTGCCATGATTACTCAGTGCAACAAAATCTGTAATGAGACTAGTGTATTGACCTGCAATGTTCTTACTTACGAGCAAATATTTGAAGCAAAAAAGGTATTTCAATATGGATATGAATCTATCAAGAGTGAAATTTCTGTCTGCAGAGAAATGCAAGGTAAATAAGACAAACAGTAGGAAGTAATAAGTCTTACCACGATGGTCCATGGCGTAGAATAAGCCAAAGGATGTTCCGACAAGAATATCCAAGTAACCATCGCCATCCAAATCAACAACCGTTGGGGAAGAATAAATATATGCACGGAAGTTTGCTTTATCCGTACTCAAATCTAGCTCTTTCACCCACTTAACTTGTTTAGTATCAAGATTGAAAACCACAATCGAACTAGCAATATAGTTTTTGATGTCAATGCCACCAAGCTCTTTCAGATGTTCTGGATTGTCATAATACCTGAAAATTTTGCTTATCAGGGTCAGTTGACATATATTCAGCAAATAAAACTGGAGCTGCTAATGGGATATTATTATCAACATCTTCACTGGTAAAGAGATGAAACGCAAACTTACTCGGGGTCAAAGAAATAGGAAACAGCAACAACCATCTCTTGCACTCCATCTTTGTCTATGTCAGCAATTACCTGTTAAAAAAGTGACACTGTAAGATCTCTCATGAAAGCAATTAATCCAAGAAAACGGTTTTTCACATAGATGAAACTCACAGGAGTGCACAGTATATGGGCGTCAATATTCACATAATCCTCTGAGTTCTCGTGCTGCCCCTCCACCCATTCCTCATCACCCCACATGGTCTCGTTAACATAATCATCATAATCATAACTGTACTCATCACCTAACTCATCATTATCGCGCAACAAGTCAAACGATGAATCTGCGTCAGCTTCCAATACTCCATCGTTTTCAACTGTGGCCATGCGAACACCTTCCTTGTCGTCTTTATTGTCAGCATGATTGTCTGCAGATTCTTTCGAGCTATCATCTTCCAAAAGTCGCCTCCCACTTTTGATACCTGTCTCTGTCGCACTACTATTTCCAGATGTCCCCAAAGTTTCTGAGGAATTATCCGTACTAGTATTTAATTTAATAACAGTTTCATTCTTAACTTCACTAATCTTGCTTTGATCCACCTCATTGGTAGTTGCATTTCCATTGAAATTTTCTGTTGAGCCAGCTGTAGTATTGTTTGCTGCCGAATTATTTACTCCAACATCCATGGAGGAATTATGTAGTTCTGGAGTAGGCTTTACGACAGCTTCTGTTTGGTTATTCTCGGGTTTCTTTTGATCCTCTTGAGATGACACATTTGAAGCCTCGCCATGCACTTCTTTGGACATCGAGTCGGTAACATTTGGTGTTGTGGTAGTTGGATTCGTTTCTACAGAGAGAAGAGAGAATCACAAAGTAAAGTTTCATCACGAATTAAAACGACTCTGCTAATCCATGCACTTTCTCTACCGTCTACATACATGTGATACTGATAAGAGAGGATGGCATACTCATCAGATGATGCAAAATCCATAAGATAAACGCAAGACACAAAATACAAAGATTCTTCATATTAGATGAGACAGCTGCTCCAAGCATAAACTTAGCTTTAGACTTTCCATTAACTAAAACGCACAGCCAATCTTTACCAATTATGTTTCCTCTAATATCATGAAGACCTTAAATTCAACCAAACAGATAACGTGGAAGCTGGGCATAACTTAAGCACCAAACTAGAAAACTGATGTAGAAGTTTTGATATGATAAAGAAACTTACGAGTGGTCGATGACATCATTTCCATGGCTTCCTGAACAAGCAGATCATCATGGACATCAGGATGAGACCGGTCAACAGGGTCAGGATTCAGTCCCACATGCCAGTTCTTGTGCACTTTTCTACGTGGCACTTCTAGCTTATCTGACATCAAAAAGCCTGATACCCTGGAAACAAGAAAGTATCATATGCAAACCCATAAAACTCCAAGGATCATGACAATATATTCTATCATCTGAGAGAAACAATTACCTGAAAAAGAGCACTTCGCCATTGTAGGTCGCCAGAGCAATTTCTCTAACACCATCTTTGTCGATATCAAATAGAAGAGGACTCGAATGCACGTTTGACTGGTGAAACGCAGGCCAACCTAGCATTTTATGAGTGCATCAGTAACCTAACCAAATTACTTCTATATTCCACATGATTAGATGAACAAGCCCAAGACAAAAAATTCAGATTGCGAAAGGTAGGAAGATGAGATATCCTGTACCTGGCATCTTGTCTCCATCAGCTCCTTCAAGAACTTCGAGGTAGTGAACAAAAGATGGAACAACAATGTCAAGCTTTCCATCACTATCACAAAAACCAAAACAGGCTTTGAGAAAAAAAATATGGAGGCAGCAATCACGGTCCTCAATCAAACACCCAAATTGGTGGGAAGAGTCCTACCTGTTAATATCAGCAATCAAGGGTGTAGCATAAATGCTAGAAGTGACTTCAGTCTGCCATCGCAGCTCCAATTTTCTCGGGCACTGAGTGTTCAACAGAGCATCTTCATCACTGCGCAACGAAATGACCCAGAAAAGTTTTAAATCGGAGAAACCAAACAGAGAGTCTTAAGAGCAAGGAAACATATCTCCAACAATCAACCCTCCGAGTAAATAGAAAAAGAAAACCAAACATGAATACGCAAAAGTCTATCAAGCTGACGCGTTGCATCGTCTACCCACAACTCAATAAGATCGAAACTTACATTTCTGGGTAGCCCTCGTCGTCATCGGTGGCGTTACGCTCTCTGAACTTGTTTTCCCCATGGGAAAGATTCGATAAGGTAAGGAAGAGCAAACAAATCAGCAGACACCGTCGCGCACGGGATTTCATATGATCACACTCTGCGAATTCTAGACAAACGATCGAGGTACGAAGAGCTTAATGCAATT